TAAAAATGTCTGGACTTGCATTAACTTCACATACTCAAGTCTATCTCGATACATAATCCCAGTGTTTATGTCTAAATATAGAACTCTGAGCGGGACGATAGCTGAGTATCTTGATCCTGGCTTAACAGCTTTTAGCTGCCATGATCAGCTGATTAATGTGTGAAATGTTTCAGCTTTGACCTTTGAACTTGTAAAGTCTACTCATTCTGTGAGCACATTCATAAGTTAATTTTTTTCACTTTTGCCAAAGGCAAAATGAAAAAAGTCTAAATAATTTAGACTATAAGAGAGAGGGGGAGGGAGCAAAACCCCCCCAAAAATTGGTTAGTACATATTGTGTATTACCGCCTTTTTACCCATGACCTAAATTGTGTTTTGAACGATGCCAGAGGCCTTATTTAAACGTGGTACAATGCGATAATTATTGGAGTACCGCTCCCGTGCCAGGTAAGTCCACTACGGGCTCACCATAGCCCGTGCTACTTGGAACATGTTCCGAGTAGCTGAATCTATAACAACATGATAATCATTGACACACACACACACACACTCATGCTAGCCGTACATATTAGACAGGTTAGACAAGTTACCAGCTGCAGGAGACTTGCCAGTGGCCGCTGGTGTGGGCGCCAGAGCAAAGCACTCGAGGTCTTGAATGAGATCTTGCTTCGGCAAAAAAGGCTCTCAAACAGGTGTTCATTGTTGGGGTTCGAAGTAGTTCATGGCTGGCTATATGGCAACCCCTTTGTGGTTGACTATGGCGACACCTTGGGGCAATGTATAGCAACCCCTTCATATTGTGACGAGACAATAACTTACTATTTAGTACAGTCAATGAGCTGGAACCGGTGTTGCTGGGAGTAGACCTCTTGGATGCCCGGGTCGCTCCACAGTCGAGATGTGTGGTCGTAGAACTCCTGCAGGAGCGAGAGAAAGCAACAATGAACGTTGTGGGGTATTAAGTGCATATCTGTATTTTTCTCATATGTAAATGAACATTATTATAGTATTAGGGTTTGGTGTATATTGTTTGTATATGCACTCTTTCTTCCCTTTATCAGGGGTTTTCCTACCTCGGGGAAGGGAAAGTCTTCGGGGTCAATGTCTAAGATGTAGTCCCTGGCGTGCTGGTTCTCCTCCTTGCCAAGCCTGATGCCCAAGGCGTCCAGGTTCCTGGTCAGCGTGGTGATGCCCTCCAAGATGTTGGAGCGAATGTCTTGCGCCTTCTCCGTCTTCTCTCTGAGGGGCGGGAAGGTATATCAGAGTCCCAGTGAACCACAGAGGTGCGTGCCAATCAGGGAGGTTGAGGCAGATAGTTTGGGAAGGTCAACTGATTAAACGAATTCTCTAACTGTCCTAACACTTAAATATGGATGTTTACAATTGCTTTCATTTGTATACGCATATTTAGATAACTCCCCTGTGCTGGAAAATGGACCCTAAATACTGCCTTCTCTGGAGTACAGTTGTGTTCGTTATCGACACATTATCGGGAATCCTGGGTTCGAATCCCGGGCGGGAGATGTTGTTGTTGTTATAGATTCAGCTACTCGGAACAAGTTCCAAGTAACACAGGCTATGGTGAACCCATAACTTACCTGGCACAGGAGCGGGGCAAGTAGCACGAGCTATGGTGAGCCCGTAGTGGACTTACCTGGCACAGGAGCGGGGCAAGTAGCACGAGCTATGGTGAGCCCGTAGTGGACTTACCTGGCACAGGAGCGGGGCAAGTAGCACGGGCTATGGTGAGCCCGTAGTGGACTTACCTGGCACAGGAGCCCCGGCTGGGCACGTTTCCTATCACCTATAATGCCTGTGTTCACCTGATAGTATATAGGTACCCAGGAGTAATGCGAGGGTTGTGGGGCTGCATCTTGGGCTTGGTGTCCCGCACTTTCATTCGTCGCACCGCTCCTGTGCCAGGTAAGTTACGGGCTCACCATAGCCCGTGCTACTTGGAACTTGTTCCGAGTAGCTGAATCTATAACAACAACAACAACAGCCCTTTCATTACAACGTGTAACATTAGAGCAAGATCAGCGGTCAGATTAACCCGTTCTCACAACACAATGTAATTGGAATTTTGTTGTTGGCGGATTTTAATTTTTTGTTGGAGGATTTGGAATTATTTGGTTGGCGGATTTGGATTTGTTTGTCCTCCATGTTCTGATATCCTAGCTCTTGGTCCTCATGTCCCAGTTCATTGTCCTCTAATCCCAGCTCCTTGTCCTCCAATCCCAGCTCCTTGTCCTCATATCCCAGCACCTTGTCCTCATATCTCAGCTTTGTCCTTATATCCCAGCTCCTTGTCCTCATATCCCAGCACCTTGTCCTCATATCCCAGCACCTTGTCCTCATATCTCAGCTTTGTCCTTATATCCCAGCTCCTTGTCCTCATATCCCAGCACCTTGTCCTCATATCCCAGCACCTTGCCCTCATATCTCAGCTTTGTCCTCATGTTCCAGCACCTTGTCCTTATATCCCAGCTCCTTGTCCTCATATCCGAGCTCCTTGTCCTTATATCCCAGCTCCTTCTCTTCATATCCCAGCTCCTTGTCCTCATATCCCAGCTTCTTATCCTCATACCACTAAATCATTGTCCTCACATTTCCTATTGCTGTATAGTCATAGATCCTGGTACTTTCTCCTTATAATTTTCTATCATACCGGTTTCCATTAATTAACCACAGAAAACTAATCCTTTATATATCTTATAAATAAATAAATTATTATTATTATTATTATTATTATTATTATTATTATTATTATTATTATTATTATCACTTACTCTGGAGAGAAGCCACTTATGTGGAGTATCTTCATTTGTTTGATGATAGTTGTCTTGCCTGACTCTCCAGCACCTGTAGGCGATCAAGAATGTATATGTAATACATTTGTGATACCTGATGCATACAGTTGATACAGCTGTATCAATTGTGCCACGCCCGTGATGCCTAATGCATGTGACGCCTGAAACATATATTATAGGAACACATGTAAATCATTATATCAGGCTTCTTCATTGTGAGGATATACATGTTCATTGTGAGAGACTTCTCCATTGTGGCATCAGACTTAGTCATTTTAAATTAAGGTCAGACTTCTTCATTTTGAGATCAGGCTGCCTTATTATTTAACATACGTTGCGTCAGACGTTATGCCATGAAATACATATTAAATGAATGCAATAAAAACAAAGTAATTAATCCCTGTTCCCCTAAACTATTTCCCTAGCCTAGTGATCTCTTCCTGTTTCCCCTAAACTGTTCCTTAGCCTAGTGATCTTCTCTTCCTGTTTCCCCTAAACTGTTCCTTAGCCTAGTGATCTTCTCTTCCTGTTTCCCCTAAACTGTTCCTTAGCCTAGTGATCTCTTCCTGTTTCCCCTAAACTGTTCCTTAGCCTAGTGATCTTCTCTTCCTGTTTCCCCTAAACTGTTCCTTAGCCTAGTGATCTTCTCTTCCTGTTTCCCCTAAACTGTTCCTTAGCCTAGTGATCTTCTCTTCCTGTTTCCCCTAAACTGTTCCTTAGCCTAGTGATCTCTTCCTGTTTCCCCTAAACTGTTCCTTAGCCTAGTGATCTTCTCTTCCTGTTTCCCCTAAACTGTTCCTTAGCCTAGTGATCTCTTCCTGTTTCCCCTAAACTGTTCCTTAGCCTAGTGATCTTCTCTTCCTGTTTCCCCTAAACTGTTCCTTAGCCTAGTGATCTTCTCTTCCTGTTTCCCCTAAACTGTTCCTTAGCCTAGTAATCTTCTCTTCCTGTTTCCCCTAAACTGTTCCTTAGCCTAGTGATCTTCTCTTCCTGTTTCCCCTAAACTGTTCCTTAGCCTAGTGATCTCTTCCTGTTTCCCCTAAACTGTTCCTTAGCCTAGTGATCTTCTCTTCCTGTTTCCCCTAAACTGTTCCTTAGCCTAGTGATCTTCTCTTCCTGTTTCCCCTAAACTGTTCCTTAGCCTAGTGATCTTCTCTTCCTGTTTCCCCTAAACTGTTCCTTAGCCTAGTGATCTCTTCCTGTTTCCCCTAAACTGTTCCTTAGCCTAGTGATCTTCTCTTCCTGTTTCCCCTAAACTGTTCCTTAGCCTAGTGATCTTCTCTTCCTGTTTCCCCTAAACTGTTCCTTAGCCTAGTGATCTCTTCCTGTTTCCCCTAAACTGTTCCTTAGCCTAGTGATCTTCTCTTCCTGTTTCCCCTAAACTGTTCCTTAGCCTAGTGATCTTCTCTTCCTGTTTCCCCTAAACTGTTCCTTAGCCTAGTGATCTCTTCCTGTTTCCCCTAAACTGTTCCTTAGCCTAGTGATCTTCTCTTCCTGTTTCCCCTAAACTGTTCCTTAGCCTAGTGATCTTCTCTTCCTGTTTCCCCTAAACTGTTCCTTAGCCTAGTGATCTCTTCCTGTTTCCCCTAAACTGTTCCTTAGCCTAGTGATCTTCTCTTCCTGTTTCCCCTAAACTGTTCCTTAGCCTAGTGATCTCTTCCTGTTTCCCCTAAACTGTTCCTTAGCCTAGTGATCTTCTCTTCCTGTTTCCCCTAAACTGTTCCTTAGCCTAGTGATCTCTTCCTGTTTCCCTAAACTATTCCCTAGTTTACTGATCTGTTCTGGTCCCTTAAAACTGTTCTTGAACCAAGTGACATATCCTTGTCCATTAAAAATATTCCCTACCTTCGTGATTTTTTCCGTGTTTTCCAAAGCTATTCCCTAGCCTAGTCATCTCCATGCTTCCCTAAACTATTACTTAACCTATCTCTCCCTGTTTTGTTTGTTAACTATTCACTAGCCTACTGATCTCTCTCTCTCTCTCTCTCTCTCTCTCTCTCTCTCTCTCTCTCTCTCTCTCTCTCTCTCTCTCTCTCTCTCTCTCTCTCTCTCTCTCTCTCTCTCTCCACTTACCCAACAACAAGATTTTTATGGCTTTTTTGTATTCTTTCATCCACGAAGATATTTTCTTTTCCAATTCCCTGCTTTGTCTTCTTTCAGGGTTAGTGCCACAGAAAACCATCCTGGAATCTGGGAGAGTCAAACTAAATATGTATGGAATCAAGTTCTTGTTTAGAAAAGACACAGTCAGCTGTAATGTTTCGGATTAACTTGTCGGCAATGACTGAATGTTTTCATTAAATGTTCCTTTTCTTTAGTGTTTCATTAAATGCTCATTTTCTTCAGTGCATCTTTATCACAAATTCAATCACTGATGAACCCACTTTCTGGTGTGTGTGAATATTGGTCGGAATATAATATATAGTTTGGAGGTGAAAGGTGTTATGTCTGTGTGTGTGGGGAGAGGTCCCTGGCGGTGAGTTATTGTGACTAGTGATGGTGGAGCAGTTATGTTTGATGGTGGAGCAGTTATGTTTGATGGTGGAGCAGTTATGTAACCATGCAGCGCTTGTGTGCACCTGCCTCTCACACACGACGAGACACCACTGTCGACCCCCATCACCATCACCGCCACAGTCACCCCCTCCCTACCTACCAATACCTCCCCCGCCGCCCCTCCTTCTTCCGGAATCCTCCCCCACCACCACAGCCATCTTCTCCCCACCTCCCCCAGTAACACCATCAGAGATGGAACTGAAGAGACTAGATCACAACAGAGAAGACACTGATAGGAATATACAAGATTGACTCTACAGTCTATTAAACTTTAAAAGGTCAACTGGAGTATATAGACGGAACAACAACTTCAAGCCCAACAATGTAGCGCCGAAAACAAAAGATACTCTTTCAGCCATAGGCTTATAAACTGATGGCCCAGCCTTCCCGCCGAAGCCGTAAATACCAAATCATTGCTGCAGCTCAAAATCCAGCTGGATAAAAGTATCAGGAAAAATGGGGAGGGGGGTTTGACAAGCCGCCGGCTATCTATTCTCGCCGCGGCCACTAGAGACGTGGTACAAGTGACACAAAGAGCTACACTTCACTCGTCCGTAGTCAATGTTAGGTAAGCATTGTTAGGGAAGCACTGCCACCCACTTCTCTCGTCTGAGATTATGTTGTCAGACGATAAGGGAGATATTCTGTATCATCTGAGATGCAAGGTGTCTGCCTCGAGGAAGGACTTCCACTACGTTACCTCTAACTTCTACTCTAAGAAAACCATTGAATGTTCTCATTTGCAAGACCCTTGTGGTTGTAAATTATCATATATGTATATATATTTACGGCAGAAAATATAATTGTAGCGCTTAAGTGGAGAGAATTCTCACATCTTTATCAGCTTAACTGTGATTTGGATAACAGCGATAAGATCTTTTGCTCCTTCCTAATCCCTCGCTTCACACTTGATACACTGCTGGGACATGGATAAGAAAATATAAGACTATATGTCTTGGAAAACCGGATATGTCAAAAAATGCAATATTACGTGTCCCAATATTGTGAAACTTATCCTAATTAGTAAATGTGATTTTCATTAAGGTAAGATAATTATCAGAAGAAAGCGCTTAGAGAGTAAGACAATATAGCATTTGGAAGGAATATGAGAACAAGGTACTGAAATATGAGGACAGGTGGAGGGAATGGTGCCCAACCACTTGGTACCATCGAGGATCGAACATCGACCCTGCAAGTGGATGGTGTTTATTTACTAAATATCAGCATTTCATAGGTACCTCATACTAGAATCACTTTTTATTAGCTGAATCGTATTCACCACAAATTTTTATTGTTTAGCATGAAAGAACCTTCTGAACTGCGCTCGCCTCGGGCGGCAGCAGAAGGCGGCATATTCAAAATAGTGCGGGAAGCATTAGGCGGGAATTTTAAAAATAGCAAATATAATGTGGATGGGGTCCATAATATACTAACTAAACTAACCTCAGAGATGAACTTTAGTTAAAAGTTTCCTTGGAGAGATATTAGCTATGCACTAATGTTTTAGTTACATAGATTTTTAAAGTTTTTAATTAAAATCGTGATGAACCTAGTCATTTCTTGTGTCTTGATTTACCACTAACAACAAAATCATGCACCATTTCTTGCTGTTTGGCTTTATTTCTAATCTATTAAATTTCCACACTGTATGTTGTTGTTGTTAAAGATTTAGCTACTATGGTGATGGTGATCCCGTAATAACCCACACTGTAAAAGTAAAGCTCTCTTATAGTGTGTAACTGCCATTCCCCGTACACTTGACCCGGGATCTGCAGTTTTACCTAAATTTGCCTGAATTTACTTGAGGACCACTATCTAGTGGCCTCGACGAGGACAGGAATCCGTCGGCTTGTCAAAGGTCCTCCCCCCTCCACATTTGTCCTCATTATTTTATTGACCTGGATTTTAAAATTTAGCAGTTTATCCAACACCTATTGAGAGAACAATATCCAACCAACAGAGAGAAATTACGATAGAGTTTAGCTAAGAGAGGAGTTATTACAGAATATTGTTCAAACCGAATTAGGAATTTAGTACATGCACTCTATGGCCAGAAAACATTAGCATTTAAAAATATCATTATCATTTTATCAATTCTGCTTGAATTTACCTACTTAAAATTATCTGTTAGATTAAGGACCTGCCCGAAATGCTGCGCGTACTAGTGGCTTTACAAGATTGTAAATACTATGCTATGTATTCTCACAAACCCAATGTACCTTCTTGTATATAAATAAATAAATATATATTGATCAGTTTAGACCAAAGCGGGTTATCGCTATATGTAGCAAGGCTATAAATTGCCTAGTTCAAGTTTTAAATATGACCATAACAAATGCATCTCACGTTTTAAACGTGACCAAAACAGATAACAACTATAGCCAGACGAGAATTGGTCTATACAACACCTGCAGCGTGTTGCTTGTACTATACTGATGAAACATGTGATATCAGGTGACATCATTTAAAGGCAGGTTCCATTCATTCTAATTTGTGTCTTGAGGTGTCAGGACAGCTTTACTCTCGGTGATAAGGCTGTGACTGCCTCTATCTAGCTAAACCCAGTTACTGAAATCCTGTTGATAAGGCAGTGGGCGAGGAATTCATCTTAGATGGTTAAGTGTCAGTGGATTACACTTGCTGCTACCTTGAGTTAAAATGTTGTATGACAATGGTACACTTAGTTTAGTTCATTTATTATGCACCCCATACCCATCTTGTGGGCGGTAGTGGAAAGGGTTACAGAGGCACATAATGGGCTCAGGGACTGAACCCCACAATTCATTTAGCTAAGCAAGTTACAATCTTGATGAGCTAGTTACAAAATTCAATATAAGTCGTCACATCAACAATGGGTTCGAGATCGACCACAAGTACAAATTCTAAATTTAGCAACTGACATATGTGGAGAGCTAGTGTCACAATATATAGGGAATGTTCAATTTTTGGGGGGAACTATGAATTTCTCTAATTAGTGAAGCTATATTCTACTAATTCATTTATTAGATAGAAAACAAGTAAGGTAAGCAGAGTTAATAGATGGGGTAGAAATATTATGATTTTCTATCACATGTTTGATAAAACTTATACAACGTATAAATATACTCTCAGGGAGGCCTTATAGCAGCCTAGGCTGTAGTAAATACTCCCATTTTCTTCATCTATTTGGCGCCTTCTTTTGATAATTACTTACTTAAGGCATCGACTATTTAAAGTCGAGTTTTGTTTTTACCTATTTACATGGAAGTGTGATCAATCTTGCCTATTTTATGAATGTAGCGCTTGTCCTGGGGAATTATATAAGCCGTGACCTTCCAGATAGGAACTGACCACGGGGAAAGTCAAGTTTCAGCTATCCAGAGGACACTGGCCAAACTAAAGCAATGGAGCATATTATGTTCCATTTGTGGCAAGGGAGAGTCACTAGTCTTGACTACTATAAAATAGGGCCGTGAATCTATAACAATTGGACACCGCTTTACAACTTTACAAGCCAACAAGCTTGTTCGTTTTTGTGTTGCTCACGTGGCCTCCACAAAGTGAGGTGATTGGATGAAATGATTGTGCCCAAGCTTACCACCAAGTCACAGCCCCGTTCCTGTGCCAGGTAAGTTCACTACGGGCTCATCATAGCCCGTGCTACTTGGATCTTTTGTTCAGAGTAGCTGAATCTAAAACAACAACAACCACCAAGTGCTGTCGGGTCGTTGGGATATAGCCTTGGCTCCCAATGACTTTTGTACACAGTTGGTCGAGTGGTTAAGGTACCACTCGACCAACCGAGTGGTTGGTCGTGGTATATAATAATTAGTCTATTATAGGGACCCAAAATGGTAAAAATATAGTTTACTGGTTATTTTAAGGTTTATTACAAAAAATACCTAAGAGCCCCCTTAAACGAGTTCAAATGTCTGCAATAACTAGGGCGCGATCAATACTTGCTGGGGAAGATGGATGGCTGAGTGGATCAGTGCCTGTGGGCAGTGAGAGGGAGAAAGACGGTAGATATATGAAGCTTTAAGAGAGGGAGGGTACATGGTGAGAGGAAGAGATGAGAAGGAAGGAAGCTGGAACAGCTATTGTTAAGGAGAGAGGGGTGAAGGGGGGGGGGGGAGGGAATTGAATTTGAATTGAACTATCAGGGGAAAGCGCCAACCCATTATCACTATATAGCACTGGGAAGGGGTCAGGATAAGGATTTGGGATGGGACGGAGGGGGGGAGAGGGAAGAGAAGGGAACTATCAGGGGGGAAAGTGCCAAGCCATTACGACTATATAGCACTTGGATGGGGTCAGGATAAGGATTTGGGACGGGGAGAGGGGAAGGAATGGTGCCCAACCGCTTGGACGGTCGGGGGTTGAACGCCGATCTGCATGAAGCGAGATCAATAGCATCTCCAATATCCATCCTGCGGGTGGTAATGGAAACGTTTAGAGGGGGCGGGGAGAGATAGAAAGCGGGAGAGGGAAATGAAGAGAGAGAGAGGAAGGACAGGGAAGAGGGGGGAGAGAAATGGAAGGAAATAGACTTCCGGAAACGCTGTGCGTACTAGTAGCTTTACAAGAATATAAACACATCATGCTATATACTCTCATAAACCCAATGTAACTTCTTGTATATATATAAATCAAAAAGAAGGGAGCATGACTGTAACTCGGTGACGGAGAACAACCGCCCCAGTACTGTTGTTGTGTCAGCCAGTGGTGGTGTGGGTGAGCTTCCTGTCTTCCAATATATCTTCCACAGTCCCAGCCTGGCCACACGCACACCAGCCGTAAGTGTCCGTGATGTATGCTTCTGTAGTGTCTTGTAGTAAGTGGAGTGGCTACGGTGGAGGAGCCAGCGCTCAGTTTTGAGGGCTTAGGAGCTACCCAGAAGTTCCCATTATCTACGTCATAATAATAAAAATTAATTGTGTCTTGGGACAGGCAATCAGTGTATTCATACACGTTAGGCTTGTATTGAGGTATACCTTGTATTGAGGTATACCTTACATTGAGGTATACCTTACATTGAGGTATACCTTATATTGAGGTATACCTTATATTGAGGTATGCCTTATATTGAGGTATACCTTATATTGAGGTATACCTTATATTGAGGTATACCTTATATTGAGGTATACCTTATATTGAGGTATACCTTATATTGAGGTATACCTTGCATTGAGATATACCTTATATTGAGGTATTACTGTTACAACTGCAACAGTAATTAGGATATTGTCATGTCTTAAGTCAACAAACTTGACAGTTGTTTGTGTTACTATGAGAACACTTTACAGGCTTGCTTTTTTATTATTATTAAAGGTGTGTGTTCTTTTCAGATGAGTAGCGGCAAGGATTACGATTACCTCATTAAGTTCCTGGCACTTGGGGACTCTGGTGTGGGAAAAACAAGTTTCTTGTACCAATACACGGAAGGTTTCTTTCAACAGCAGTTCATCTCTACTGTCGGCATTGACTTCCGGGAAAAACGCCTGGTAAGGCATTCTCCCTATTCTCCTATTAAATGGGGAAATATCCTGCCTATTTTATTAAATGGGGATATATCCTCCCTATTTTATTAAATGGGGAAATATCCTCCCTATTCTCCTATTAAATGGGGAAATATTCTCCCTATTCTGCTATTAAATGGGGAAATATTCTCCCTATTCTGCTATTAAATGGGGAAATAGCCTCCCTATTCTGCTATTAAATGGGGAAATAGCCTCCCTATTCTCCTATTAAATGGGGAAATATTCTCCCTATTCTCCTATTAAATGGGGAAATATCCTCCCTATTCTCCTATTAAATGGGGAAATATTCTCCCTATTCTCCTATTAAATGGGGAAATATTCTCCCTATTCTCCTATTAAATGGGGAAATATTCTCCCTATTCTCCTATTAAATGGGGAAATATCCTCCCTATTCTCCTATTAAATGGGGAAATTTTTGTTCCAAGAATGCATTACTGTAGTAGGATAGAGCAACTGAAGCTGTCCAGAAATTACAGTACTATACATGCATTCAAAATTTGTATAAGTTTAGGAAATGACCAACAATACTGGAAACTCGACAAATGCCTTGAGCTTGTGTAAAACTTCTTTCCGAGTATAATTGCCCCTCTCTAAACTATTCTACCTTGTATACCCAAAAAGGTAAAAAAACAAAGTGCCCAACATTATGAAAACACATGGCATGGTCTCGCAATTTAACAGGGTGAAAAATTAATGTGATTTTGCTTAACATCAGCAACCTACCTAGTCCAATCTTTGCTCACACTTTATACATGCTATTTTGGCACTATTTACAACAGCATCATAATTCTGATGCTTTAGTGATATTAAAACCACTATAATATTCATTCTTCCTTGGACTAATGAACATTGGCCTTGATAGGTGGGTAGCCTAAGCTTTTATGCTTCAGGATAGGCAAAAATGCATCTAATTTGATGCTTGTCATATCATGGAAAGACTACCTAACAAGGCTGATAATAATAATAATAATAATTAATAATTCATTGCGTCTGGGGTCAGGAAGCCAGAATGTATTCATACACGTGTTGGCTTTTATGGAGGTACCCCACCCCATAGGCCGAATTACTAACACCGCCTAGGACATAACCCCACAACAACCTGACTAACTCACCTACTTACTGCTAGGTGAACAGAGGCATTGGGTAAAAGGAAATGTGCCAAACCATTTTTGTCCCGCCCGAGATTCAAACCCGGAATTGTGCATCGAGAACAAACACGACTGCACTACCAGGACCCTAATGATCCGGTAGGGCCATTATGATGATCATTAACAATGATGATCGATAATTTTACTAATTAACATTATGGTGCCATTAATTTTACTATTTGACTGCAATTCTTATATTGGGGATGATAGCTTACAAATTACTTCATAAAGTGCGAGGACAGACTAGTTAACTAGTTTTCTTTTACTTATTATATGCTTGTACAGTATGTTCAAAAATCCTTAATGGAACTTGCATATCTCAAGTTTGATAGTTTGCGTAAGCCTTATTTATATTTATCTTAAAATGAATGAAAGGTTGGCCATTTTAGCGAGATAGAAGCAGATAAGAATAAGTGCCAAAAATTTGGATCTTTGCTTTTTTTTACATAAATTTAAGTGTTGAGAATAATGCCCTAATATTGATTTTAGGTCATAAAGTTAATCTCTTGCAGATATACCGCGGAGATGGATCTGGTCGTGCTCAGGGTGTGCACTTACAGCTGTGGGATACTGCGGGACAAGAAAAGTACAGGGCAAACAATTTTTTAGTTGTGTATTGCATCTTTAACCTGAAATTAATCATAAGTGTCTTGATAGATATTCATTTAGATACTGTACTTGTACTTTGGTTTTTTTTTTTTTTTTTAAATTTTGGTTTGAATTGTATTGCAAATTTTGAAGAAAAAAAATACATTGCAATAAGTCCTACTATGCATGACACTCGTTTTTGTAGAAAATGTCATTTTGGTTTATAATACTCATTTTAGCACTGTATTGTTGCACTTTTATTTACATCAGTACGGTTATATTTTGACGAGTTCCTTTCCTGCTCTCCTGCTGTGTCTGTATATACTGTAACACCTACTGTTCCTAAATGCAAGTCATTCTCTCATCTTCTTTCACATATCATTGGGTTCTGTAGCACAGTGGTCTACGTCCTTGGCTCTTGAGGGGTCCCAGATTCAGTCCCCTGGCAGGTCAAAAACATTTAGGCACATCCCTTTCACCTGGGAAAGGTCAGTAGTTGACCTAGGTTGGACCTTGATAAGACTAAATACAGGCTTCCTGTTCCCAACAATGGGGAATTATATGCTGGCTTATTCTGCTTATATATTTCCCCCGCCATCATTCTCTGGTTATTCTTAGTTGTCACATTTTTGTTTAAAAATACTTAAATTCATTAATAATTTGTTGATGAATGTAATCAATTAAAGGAGTGTGTTATCTTTTAGCGGGTCTTGTTCACTATAAAAGTCCACCATACTTGCATATTTATAATTTTTCCCTAAACATCTTGCCTTCTTAACTTCAGTGTATCAGTCTCCCAAAACAGATACTGTATATTTAACTTAGTATAATCATAGTTGTGCCAGATTATATACTGTGTCTTCAGTATGGTATATAAAATCGAAGTACACTAGACCTGCTTCTAAACGTCATTATTTTAAGCATTGTTTTCGTAGATAAAATACAATTCTGTACTGTACTTGAAACATTTTAAGTACTGTAGTGAGGTATAAATCCATTCAACTGAGAGATGTGTAGTACCAAGAGCAAGGATGGAAAGCTAACTGCTCCTGTAGTACAACCAGTATGGATGTAGCTTTGAAACCACTAGCTAATAAAACAAGAAGTAATGTGAAACAACATTGTTGGCAAACGATAGCAAGAGTTAAGGACAGTGTGTGTGGATGGTGGTGGTGGGGACGGGCTAGCATGAATGTTAATGATGGTGTTGAAAGAATGTGTCGACCCTGAACGTGCGTGAGCTGGCAGTGTGGATGGTTGTGAATAGCATTAAGACTCTTGAGACTTACAGGGGATCAGGGATGATGGAGGTGCCTTTTATGAGACGTAAGGCGACGTGTGGAATTCATTGACTCGGGGCTTTGAAGCAGCCAATAGACTATAATTTTGAGGGTCTGTCCTATGTGAAACCCCCATGAAGGATTTTGTCTGTGAAATGTTCTGTATTATTTTAAGTGCAGTACAGTATTTAAATTTGTATAACAGTATTTCCTGGTAATGTAACTTAGTCCCATAAGAATGTTGATACAATTATGTATGCTGCCTCTGGTGCATATTCCCATTGTAGAATTTTGGTCTAATGTATTACAGGCATATAACACACTTTTGGTGAGATTTTATTGAAAAAAAATTAAATGCATGCTTTATTTGAAGTAAAATAAATTTTGTCTTGTTCATTTCCTATTTGTTTCTTTTATTTATTTCTCTCCGTTTTCTTCTCTCTTCCTCCAGCTGTCATTATTCTCAAGTTTCTTATTTATTCTACTTGTTCCTTTGTTATGTTTCACCATTGCTCGAGAGCAAACATCATCACCCCTCAACATTCACACAATTACCAATTTCCTTGATATATATATTAATGTGAATATTTTATAGCATTGCCTATCAAAGACATTAATATATTTTTATCTGATACAAATAATTTTTTATATTACAGGGTCATTATTTTTGTAACTTTTTGGATTCATGTTGACATTCCATAATTATAATTCGTAAAGGTATATTCATTGGTTTTTTGTTCATAGCATGAACTTAGTGTACACAGATCAGCATGGACTCGGCAGGCTAACGATATGTTCTGCGTGCAGAGTTGGTATTGCTATGCTTAAGTTGATGCTAATTTGGCATTTATCATGAGGCATACTTTAGTGAATATATTTTTCCATGTAAGGTTTGCTATAGTTTTTTACTCTATATATTGTAATTTCCTTTTATATACAGTATATGAAGGAACTTTTATTTAACCTTACGGCAAATGAATTGCATGTTTCCTCGCGTAACTTAGCACAGATAATTTATGCTTTTGCAAGTACCGAGTAATTTAGCCCTTTACGGTTTGAGGTGTAAGTTTATTGCTTGGTATTTTCACTAACCCCAATGTCACAGGTATATGTGATGCAAGGAGATCTAGGGCTTGAGAAAAAAATATAAAGTATTCTTGATTGTAATAAATAATATTAGCTCACAGTTTGAATAAATTTAATTTTATTAACACTTAAGTGTACAGTTCTCTCCATTCTCACATATGTCTGTGAAATTTTCCTGCATTTAATAGAGGTGCATCAAGCACAAGTATAGTAAAGGGTTCTTGCTTACTAATGTGCACCATCATTTTTGTAGGTTTCGTAGCTTAACTACAGCATTTTATCGGGATGCCATGGGCTTCCTTCTACTGTTTGATTTGACTAATGAACAGTCATTCCTCGATATTAGAAGTTGGCTGGAGCAGCTTAAGGTAGGACTAGAAATATTATTTTCTCCCAAGTTTGTTTTTTTTAGTTGAGTAAATTACCATTAATTTTTTGTCTTTATAATTCATTCTTGCCATTTGTTTATAAATGCAAAGCTGTAATAACTTCATACTAACACTTACAAGAATACCAATTGTTCATAGCACTACTGTAACCTGTGTAGTATATATATATTTACACTATACAGTATTTGATTTCAGGGTGTAGTATTTATTCCAGGTTCATCATAAATTTTTTTTTTATTACCTGTAATCCATGTAAGCTGTAAGCTGTCTTGCCTCCTCAACAAAATTTTCAGCCACAGAATTGTCTCAGCTCCTTTGCTTCCTTCTAAGATTGCAAATTCTTCTAGCCGATAACTAAAACTTACACCTGCTTCACGTAACTGACCCATGTCCATACTGAGTTTTGACAACTGCATCTTCTTGATTTCATTTATTGGCACATTTTGCCATCCTTATTAGGTGCAATATCTCGTATTTAAAACTAAAGTGTTAATATTAGTGTCCTTCCATTTTTACATGTTGCATGTTATCCCTATTATAGTATGGAGGGGTATTATTTTGCCTGGTTGCAAGTTTCCAAACGGTGCACTTCCCGTGACAAATTCCTGGTCTGTGTTCACCTAGTTAGTTGCTTCAATGCATGAAATTCTTTTTACTCGCCCTTCACATAATCAGCATTGTTAGATTAAGGGTCGCAATTACGGTCAAGTGAAGAACAAGAGATAAAACTGTTCAGAATGTGATATAGGTTTCCAGTTGATGAAATTTATATTAAAATAAATGTTATAATTTTTGACATCCCCTTTAGACTAGTATAACAACAGCCTTACTTTTTGCAGGGTTGGCAGTTAATACCTCATGGTCCAAGTTGTTGGTTGTAATACTTTATTTTGTTCTCATATATACCACCTTGTATGCCTGCCAAGTGGTAAATTGTATACTCTTGACTGGCATGGTGCTCTATCCTAATACACTAACTACCTTCCACTGTTATGCCAGAGGGAATCTCAGCTGTCTGCAGATATAATAAGACTACATAAAGGGAAGCAACTTTCCACAACACACTTTGTGATGTATCTTGAGGTTATCTTGAGATGATTTCGGGGTTTTAGTGTCCCTGCGGCCCGGTCCTCGACCAGGCCTCCACCCCCAGGAAGCAGCCCGTGACAGTTGACTAACACCCAGGTACCTATTTTACTGCTAGGTAACAGGGGCATAAGGTGAAAGAAACTTTGCCCATTGTTTCTCACCGGCGCCCGGGTTCGAACCCGGGACCACAGGATCACAAGTCCAGTGTGCTGTTCGCTCGGCCGACCGGCTCCCAATGTAGTACAGTACGGATACACCACATAGATATAGCATCATCACCAACTTCGGTATAAACGTTAAAATTATATCACTGGATTATGGAACAGAAATGAAAGTAACTCGAATAAATCAATAATTAATGGCAGCAAAAGAGGGAGGGGGGGGGGAGGAAATGGTGTCTTTGAAAAGTTATCTTAATGAGTATGCAGTGCTGTAGTGATGAGTACTGTAGCATAAAAATAATACAGTAAGTGTTTTGTGCCACAATCAGAATAAGTAGATCAAAATAAATATTTGCATGTATGTGTTGAGGCAAGTATACTTGATGGAAACAAAAAATAGAAATTCCCATACTAGACTGAGGCAATACACCTCTAAAATTAAAAAAAAAAAATTTTTAATTTTGCTACATAGTAATTTAGTTAATTTTAAATCAATTGAAAATGTCATAATCAAAGTACAGTAGTTTGAAATATCAATGCTTGTACATGGTACTTAATCAGTCAGCAGATATAGTTGGTTAGTTAGACTAGTTAGACCTGGTCAGAGGCATTTCAGGAAGGCCTGAAATGCTACACGTACTAGTGGCTGTACAAGAATATAAGAACTCTTGTATATATCAAAATATATTTGCCAAGAGTTGTCACTGGAACAGTTGTATATTTATTATTATCCAGGATAGGCAATTAGCTACATGTAATAAGTTGAATATTTATAAATTCGAATCAGTGGCATGTGCAGGAATGCTCTTTTTAGTATTTAGAGCCAGCTCATATGTTTGGAAATACGGGTAATGTATTAGGGGTTCCCAAGTTCTGAAATAGAAATTTGGATTTCCTGAGCCAGAAGTAGGCCTTTCTGAAATAACCTGATGAGTTTTGACAGTGTCCTGTAATCTCATGTGTGGTAAATCCACCAGTAAATGACCAGGGTATGGAATGGTCTTCGTTTTTGTGTAGCCCGAGATATATAATATGAGGTCGGAAAGTGTTTCTGCAAGTGTCGGAAATTAGCAGCAAGAAGCTATTGGCGTGGTAATGGTAATCCACAAAGGCTGTATTCATTGGTATTAGTACAGAAATAAATGGTCTGCAAAATTTTCAGATGCTCCAATACTTTACCTATGCCTTACACTAGACTTGCTCTATACGTTTCCTGAACTCTTGCCTCTTATGAAGTGGTTGAACCTTTGAAATGTCAAAAAACAATGTGTGTTAAAAACTGCTCCATTTTATAGTACACATATTGGAGAAGCCTCTAATTTTCAACTCTGGTACTGGCATCCTGAATGATAGCTAATAAATCATGAATTAATAGTTTTTAACACAGCTTAACTCTTTCTCTTAATGCTTACGTGATGAGGGGATGTAATGTACTGTATCCTCCATAAACTCCTAACGTTGTTGTATATAAACCTCTCTGTGCTAGCAGCAACCTCGTAATCCTGAAAGGCTTGGTAAAGCCTTTGAAAATGTTAGCCTAGAAGTAGGTTTTAGATTACTGTATATATATATAAAGCTTGAATTTTTTTCAGACTCATGCATACTGCGAAAATCCAGACATAATTTTGTGTGGGAATAAGGTGGATCTTGTGGATCGACGTGTCGTGTCAGAGCAGCGGGCTAAAGAGGTTGCTGAGAAGTTTGGGCAAGTTATTTTTATTTGAAAGTTCCTAGTTTCACAACTTTTTTTTTTTTTTTTCATATGGCTATTTTGGTTAATGAGTGTTTAATTTGTTAATCTACTTATGGAAGCTACTGCTCTCAAAATTGTAGATATTGTCTTGAAATTTGCTCTTGGCCTAGCATTGAATATCATGGCCTAAAACAGGAATAACAGTGATTGGAATTTGTCTAGGTTCAGTTTCTTGAAGAAAAAACGTAGGACTTAGCACCCATTACATTCTGGCGTTTATTGAATTTCAAGACAAACGTTGCTCAGCTTTAAAATCTCCCCCCCCCCCCCCCAATAAAGAAAATTACTTTAAGAATGTACTGTACTAGTATTTACAAATTTATCAGAAATTGAAGCAAATGTAAATCTCATTTTGTTTTCATAAGACTTGGTTATCCTGTGTTAAATATTAAAGAGTGAAGATGAGGAGTCACAATAACGTGACTGAAATATGTTGACCAAACCACACACTAGAAAGTGAGGGGGACGACGACATTTCGGTCCGTCCTGGATCACTCGAGTTGATTTTTTGTAATATCGACTTCAGAATGGTCCAGGACGGACCGAAACGTCATCGTCCCTTCACTTTTTAGTGTGTGGTTTGGTCAACTTAGAGTGAAACAATATTTCACTTGCAATGTTGCAAAAAGTTGACATTTTCTAGAAAACTTTCATCACTTGATTTCCCATACATTCTCCATGTAATTGTCTTTCTAGATTAAGTAAACACTAATGAACTAACACTTATTTACCCACTACTGTATATTACAAAGAACATTAAACCATTGTGCAATGTCTTGGCACATTGTATAGCCAACACAGCAGGTATAAGAAGGGACAATGGGGGTATACACACTGGAATCATGGGTAAAGAATTTGGTTTATAAATGTGAATCTATTAAAGAAAAAAAAGTTTCTTCCTTCCCCCCGAGTAGATGTGGCCGTTTCATTGAAGGAATGGCTGCAAACATTTAGGTGTTGAACAAATCCACAAGAGCCGTGACGAGGATTCGAATCTACATCCGATGCTCCTGGGCGTAGGTTCGAATCCTCGTCACGGCCCTTGTGGATTTGTTCATTTGATGCATCACGCTATTGTGATTTCTGTGTGTAGTGTAGTGTCATTTAGGTGTTCACCATTGACTGTTTGAGAGTTTCAGCCATCATGTGCTCTCAATATATTTTTTTTCCATAAACAGGAGGGTACAGAAGCAGACTTCTGGCTACAGGTAGTTACAAATAGGAAGAGAAATTTGCATCATGTAACTCCTGGCAAATATAAATACCTATATAGTGTACCTTTGAGAATCTGGACCTACATATGGATCTAACTGAACAGTGTATTAAAGCTACCCACTGAGTTTTTAACCCCGAAACTCTAATTTTAACATAGGCGAGGTTTAATAAGTTTATAAAATTCAGTAAGCAACACAAATCAGGCATTCAAGTTAAATAAAATGCATTTATTTGACATTACCTTTACAGTATGTTTCAATTTGGTAAATGTGTAGATATTTGGTGCATTCGGGAGTTATCTTACATAGTGCCTATAGAAAATCGTTTTCGAAATGACAAATGATTGACTTATGACACGTGTATTCCTAATTTTCCATTGTAATTTGGGAACCAACTGTATGGTATCATTTACTACAAGGAAAAATTTAGAAAATTGCCATTAAATAGGGGAAAAAAAAGACAATTACTTAAGACATCTGTAACACTGCAATTTGTATTTCCAATGTTACACTTTTTGTTCATATACATGTACAATAAATTATGTATTATTTAGTACAGTATGTAATTAAAAAAAATCCTTTTAAAAAAAATCCTTCTTCATTGTGTTATAATTTCAAGATGTACTGTGGACTTTAGCAAGGTTTTCTGTAAAGATTATGCCTCTTGCATTTAATTCGTTATGACATTTTTATTCATTTTTGTTTTTACAGGTTTGCATATATAGAGACGTCTGCTGCAACTGGTCAAAATGTTGAAACTGCTGTCAACCAACTGCTAGATTCCGTTATGAAACGCATGGAGGTAGCGGTTGATTCTAGTCGCCTGGCAGGCAGGAGAGGCCGCTCAAAGAGGCTTTTGATGAACGAGGATGATGAGGCCGAGGATACCAGCTCCCAGTGTTCTTGCTAATTGACTGACTGGCATAGGACTCCAGGTTAGGGTTATATGAAACTAGTCACTTTCGAACTTGGCTCAATCTCATAATGTTTAGTACTGGTAGTAAAATTTAAGGACTTGAATTTTTGTTGGTTAATAGTTTATGGTATTGAATATTTAAAAAAAAATAGTATAATAAATGTGACTGCATTGGAACTAACCAGTACTCAGAACATAGTTACTGGTATATCCTCCAGTCATCAATTGTTGTTTTGTCTGTATATCGGTAATGTGTTACTGTAGACATAACTGGTATTTTGCTGGAAATCCTGAGAATAGCTGCTATTGAGGTGTCTTTTGGGGGAGGGGGGGCTGTAATCAAAATCTTTCCTATCTCAGGAAGTAGTAGTGCTTAGATCATGTGGCAAACCTGAGTGGTTAAGACTGGATGAAATAAACAGTATTTTTGGTAAATTAAAAATGACTAATAAGCAGATGAGACAATTCTTGCCATTAGCTAATTTTTTTGCATCTAAAATTGAGTTGGCCACAATTTCTACATTCCTTCACATTTTCAGTGATGCTGTTGAAGCGTTGGTAGCTCATTTTGGCTTAACTGTTATATTTTATTAAGCAGCTGTGAAGCGTACAAATTGTAGAGATTATGGAAACTGTGCTACTGCTCTTAGCATAAGTATAATAATTGGCCTATATAAATATTAAATACCGAAATAGCAGTTTACTCAAACATTGGTTGTAGTAAATATTTTGTATATAGAAATGCATTGTGCCTGTATACCAAGAGTAATTTTTCACTGTATACATGCCATGAAATACTTTATTACCTACGTTTCTGAATTTATCTAGTTATGCGTAGGTGGGAAAGGCAAGGTGACTAGCAAAGAACAAGTGCCATAACTGATTACCATAATTTCTGCCAGTATGTATACTTGAAGTATTATCTTGGTTATCCGAATCTCTTAATTGTCCATTATTTGGTTCAGAAAACGTCACTAGTTTATTTCCAGCTATCATTCCAGAGATGGACCAAATAACTAGATCATGGACAAAAGTTAACAGATGTGCAGACTGTATGAATAGAGGTTTGATAAACCCAAAGATAGACTAGTTAAATGTTAAACCACCAGAGATCAGCCATAAATTTGATTTTTCTATGCTATCTATCTATCCAAACTATTATTTTAGATGTGCAGACTGTATGAATAGAGGTTTGATAAACCCAAAGATAGACTAGTTAAATGTTAAACCACCAGAGATCAGCCATAAATTTGATTTTTCTATGCTATCTATCTATCCAAACTATTATTTTAGATGTTTATATATTTTTTAGAATGCTATATTCTAAATTGTTGGAAATCCTGTAAATTAAAACTAGAGCAGTAGTGATAATGATAGTTGCTCATTTTAAATATTATACTAAAGGAATGGAAAGCACACACAACATATAAAAAGTGCCAGACTGAGTATACAGCTCATCCTTATGTTTTGATAGTACTTATAGGAAGGATGAGGACCATAGTACATATACCGACGTACAATGCAGTCAAAAAATAGAAATCGGTACCAGTGAATTTGGACAAACCGGGTAACTATTTTCTACTTGTGTTGCAAAGACAAAATAAACTAACCTAACCTTCCTAGGACTAATACATTTTATGAGGCCAAATATAGTACATAGGTGTGTATGAATATTTGTGTTTTTTTTTTTTTTTAGCTTAAGTTTTTTCGGACTAGAGTGAATAGTACGTCAATGTTAGTACTTTTTGTAACTGCACAATAGTACTGCAACCCCGCCTCTAAATAGGAGGCGGGGTATACCACTCGCCAAGGGAGGGTGAATGAACAAATAATATTACATAATTTTACAAATTAAAATAATATATAATTGCAAGCAGTGATTATAGTTTCACTACTCAAAAAAATACTAATGTATTAAAAGTGATATTATGGGTTATATATGAAGTGAAATAAGATTGACTTGGAAGGTAATAGAGAAAGAGTTTTTTTATATATAATTTATTATGAATCACATAAGATATAAAGTAAACAATAATTTAGAACTTTGAGATGACTTTTCTGAAATTAGTTGGGTAAAACTAAATTCCTTATCAGTAAATTTGCTGCCAAATGATTTGTGTGTGTTTTACGTGCAAAATATCCTGTCCCATACATAAATTGTTTTATAATTAAAAATATTTGTATCAGATCTGAATTAGAAATACTTTAAGTGCATAGTTTGGTAAATTTTATTATTCCTTAGTGAAAACAAGAGCTATCATCATATGTTAAGTCAACTTTCTATAAACTGCTTCAGTACATAAAAAGTTAGCCTCTTACACATGGAGGTAAAAGTATTTTTGATTACCAAATACCAACACTGGATTCTGCTCGTGTATTTGTTCCTCTACGCCACGTTACTTTCATCTTGTATACCGTAATTATTTTCTTTATCATCTTTTTAATTCTATCCTTTTAGAGCGAAGCCAGTATAGAGTTCTTCAGGTCTACATATTTATGTCAATATTATGTATGAATGTTTTTCCCAGTTCTTGAAGGGGAAAAAAAAAAAAAAGATCCAAAATTGGCTCCTTAAAATGCAGTACAGATTTCAAACTAGCTTGTATAATCAATACAGTAAGTTGAGCATTGCACAATTTGTGTTTACCATTTGAATTTTCTAATTTTATATATGGAAAAAATTCCCTTGAATGGCTAGATTACGATGGATAGGATCCAGACTCCAAGTAACACTTTGTCTGCTACTCCTGATCTATTGGGAGAAACTATTTTGAAATAGCTTTGCTGATGCAACTAAATTCATTTCAGATACTATTCCTTTTTTATATTTAGAACAAAATATTAAAATATTTGCACATTTAAAAATCTTAAATATTACATAAAGTATTAAGTACTCAAATGGTGAACTATGGAAAGTAATTGTATTACAGTAATGTAGATTTGCTTTTTGTAGTACAGCCAAATATAAGCTATGCTTAAGTTAAAAGTGGACCTTACTGAACTTTATACTTGCAGTACAAGTTGATTGTACTGTATGCTTATTTCCATCAAACCAGTGATGCAACGTAATGTGTAAATATTTGTATGTACTGTATAATATATATTCACAACAACCTTTTGTTGATGACCAGACCACACACTAGAATGTGAAGGGACGACGACGTTTCGGTCCGTCCTGGACCATTCTCAAGTTGATTGTGTTGAGGAAGTAGAGACAGTATTGTATATGCAACCTTTTGTTGCATATACAATATCACTAACACATTCATTAAACAAATTATACAATGAAATTATCAATGCCAAATTCAGAAAAAAAATATATGCACTTGTTGGCTGGTCCCAGTTACTTGTGGAAGATGGTTCAATAATCAGTCTCCATACTTCCTGGCAACCATAACATTACCCCTACCCTGCCATATACATTTTCCACTACCATACTTGTCAAACATACTTCTACCCACCTACCTGAGCACCATCCGACATATCTTAATGATTATTTAAGAATGACTATGGACCCCCTTTAATTAAACTACTGGTATTTATAAAATATGAGATGTTATTATGTATATTATGCCGCTATTATCTTTTGTTAAAATCACTCGGTAGAGCTTGTTTTAAGGGTACACCTATTGATGTCTTGCATAAAAATAAAACATGATTATAGAATGTTACATTAAAGCAGAACATTATCAGAGTTCAATAACCTGTGGAAGACCACCCAGAGAAGTCAAAGACTTGCCACCGTCATCACCGATGGTTCCTTAAACCTATTATATTAGATATAATAAATGGGCAAAATAGACAGGAAGCAGCTACTGCTCATTGGTTGAAAATCCACTGATAATGAAACCTTGTGTAGTTTGTCTTGTACTTTGTAGGTACCATACTTGTACCACAAACCAATTAAGATGACTTTGTAAAGCATCATAACACCACAATGCATATTTCTCCCACTCTTACAGTTAGTAGTATCATCTTCACATACTTGACCTGGATGGATTCTTTATGTATATACATTATTAAGACAATTCTCTTTTCTCACACTCCTGAGGTAACCCTCTCACAGATCCAGTCTCTCTCTCTCTCTCCCTTTCCCCCAAAGTCAAAAGATAAGATTTCTTCATTCATGTGATGGCTGTAACAATAATGCACAGAATGACTTGGCCTTTTATCTTACGTCAAATGCTGCGACTATTATTCTTGCCTGCCATTCAAGCAAATGCTAAAAAAAAAGTTTTAATTGGGTCTCGGAAACTAGAAAGGTATTTTGTAATTTTTTTTTTTATATGAATAATGTACTGTACATGCCACTTTGAGGTATACAACTAAAAAAAAAAAAGAATAATTGAACAAAATGTCAAATTTTAACATCAATCTTTAGCATTTCAAGATTCTGAATTTTGTCTCTATAGTATATATATCTATAATCCGCAAACATGTAAATTAAATGTAGTACATAATTTACTGTGCTGATAGCTTTGTATTTTAAAAAAAATGACAAGACTCAATTTTTAAAATACAGAATACCTTACTCATCTGTTCTTAAAAAGCAAGTACTATAACAGCAGCACAAACTAACAAGACCCAGAGACGGAAGAGAAGCACATACATATTGTTAAGGGGATGGACAATATCCACAGTGGTGTAAGAAAATAATCTTTACCAAAACCATCCAAAATGCTAAAAAGACAAAATAAATGCTCAACATAAACAGATCAGTATTTCACCTGTCTAAACCACAACCCATCCTCCAGTTTTGACACCACTTTTTGTAACCATGTGCTCGATCATACCAACATCTACTAATGGAGCTCCAGTTAGCCACTTTGTAAATCTTTTATAATCTGGAAAAAATAAAAAATAAACAACACATTCCTAGGCCTAGTTTAGCACACATGTACTATATTAGACCTCAGATAGTTAGGTGTTATTACCAAACAAAATTTTTTCCAGTTCAAATTAAATACTACAGAAAGTCTTATCTGCTGGTCCATCATGATATGTTTGTACTTTAGACCACATTGCTACTTAAGTACTGTAGTGAACTTCCATTTTAGGAGGATGGGTTGCTATACCAACATCATTAGGTTACCTTTTCATACAGAATCATGTATGCATTGGCCTTCCGTACCTCTTCCAGACTCGCTTCTCTCACTAGCAAATCGGAGGTGTAAAACCATCTGCAAAACATACATTATTTAATATATACCAAAAACGAAGACCAAACACTATTTCATGGAGACGCTAATTATTACTTGCACAAACTACAATAAAAACAATCTCGTAATGGTATTAATTAGGCTTTTGGATAGGATATACATACAGTAATGTCTAATAAAATTACTGTAGTCAATTTCTAAAATAATTTACAGCCACAATTTTAAGTAGACAGTGCCTGGACGTGGTTAAGGTCTCTCTCCCCCAGTATGCCAAAATGATAAACAATTGTGATAGCAACCTTCACAGAAGCAAGCATGGAATACACTTTATTCTAACTTTACTAAAATATAAAAATAAAAAATGTGGAAATTATTTTATTTATTTTGCAGTCATGAAGAATTTTATTTAGGGTGCCCCCCCCCCCCCTTTAGGCCAAATATGGACCTTCTCCAAGATGCAACACATTTGTCTAACTCTGTGGTACCTATTTACTGCCACGTAAATAGGTACTACAGAGTTAGATAAAAGCATCAGGTGAAAGGAAACATGCCCAGCCGTTTCTGTCCTTCTGAGGGAATGAACACGGGTCCTTAAATTGTAAGCCAAGGACATGGACCACTGTAGTAAGTTATGTTACCATAGAAATATTAATCGAGCTCAATCCCATAATTATTACACAAATTACAGTATAACACTTAAATAGTGTGTTTACCAAGGATCAACGGCACAGAACTAATACCTCACCTGTTCCTCGTGCGAGATCCTATTGGTCCACGACGGTATGTCACAAAATGCCCACAAAAGACATCCCCCACATGAACAATGACAGCTTTTAAACGGTACAGTTGCTCGTAACGTACCCGCCTTACGTGGACAAAGGGGCTGCAGGAGAATTATTTTAATGTGAGAGTTTTTGGGGTCATACTGTGAATTTTTATCACATTTTTTGCAGCTATGTATAAATATTACTTATCATTTATATTTGCAACAATGATTTGTATATATTATTTGTTATTATTGTAAAAAGATTGAATACCTGCATTTACTTGTACAAGAAAATGTTTAAAAACAAATGTGTTATTTAAGTCTTAAATTTTAAACCATAAGTTTAATTACAGAACTCTGAAAATTTAGATAAATACTACAATATAAGTAAACTATTAGTGCTAAAATTATCTAAAAATCAATGAATCCCTAGTATCTATGTTTTTAAAATAATTCAACTACCACAGATCCATACTTAACAAGTAATTTCTCTTATTACACCATAAAAGAAAATTACAAGTAAACTGGTAATTTTGCACTCCTGATCATTCCATTCACCATGAATACACCTTTCAGGGTTTAATGTAGAGCTTTGGACATCAGACAGATTTAGTGTTGTATGCTTGAATTGCTGAATCTACTGATGCTCAACCTATGCAAATTCCTTCTACACTATTGAACGTAAATTATTTTTCTTCACACTTTCTTACTTTCCTAACCTCTTAAAAAGATAACTATCATATCATCTAATCCTTCATGCAGCAGGGATCTCCTACCAGTGTAAGATAGGCGCTTGAGAAAACTCAGTCCAGCCCTGAATGACCTCTTGTAAGTTTATGTGAACTCAAAGTGGACTTCACCTACTTTACATTTTCTTTGACCTTTTGCACTAACCTAGTTTAAAAAAAAATTAACTCAAATCCTTACACAATCCTTTACTCCCAAGATCATTTAAATGTAACATCAAGTCCCATTCTCCACTTCAACCCACACTTCTCCACACTAAACTGCTCCCCTACACTTACAGTCATGACCATCACTTGCGTCTAGTTCTTCGTCTAGTTCTTCCAGTAATGTATACATAGGCAAAGGCCCATTAAATATGATGCCACGCAGCTCTAAATTTATTTTCCACAATATATGTTGTTACACAACAATACTACAGTACTCACCTTGGTTCAATGCGGGTGAATGTGGCACTTTGGCTGATGATGGAAGAGACTGGCAAGTGGCAACTGTTTTCTTGACTGTTAATGCTGCTGGGATCACTGTTGCCCTCCAGTCCACTTACTTTGAAATTCTGAGGACCCAATTAATTATTTCTTTAAGAATATAAGAATCAAGGAAACTGCAGATCTATTGACCCCATATGAGGCAACTCCTATTTATATCCATTCATATACATGTCTAACCTATACTTGAAACAATCAAGGGATCCTACTTCTATTGTGTTATGCAGTAAAAGGTTCCACAAACCAACAACCCTGTTACTGAACCAGTATTTACCCAGATCTTTCCCAAATCTAAACTTATCCAATTTATACCCATTTGAGTACAAGATTCTAAAAATTCAACATTTGAAAATCAAAACGTAAACATTATGGCTCATCTATTCTAAAAGTCTTCCAGGAATAGGTACATGGTTCAACTGACAATCTTTTCCAAACAACATCAGCTCAGTTCAGGCGAAGAAACGAGAGCATGAACTAAGCATGTAACAAAAGCAAAAGCAGCAAGACAAGTTCCTACACTTGTCACAAAGGCAATCATTCTAATCTATGTTGCTTAAACAAATATATATACCCTATATATTTAAGATGATAATAGCCAATGAGTAATATTGAAAAGTACCTTATGTTCTATTCATGTTTTTTTATTACAGTATACCTTGATATTATATGACCAAGAAAATCACATGTTAACTCCTTAATGACTCGATAGCAAAATGTAATTATCCTGACAAGATTCTTCAAATCTTTGTTTAAAGGTTTGAGGTAGATCGGCAGATCCCCAAAGTTACGCAATAGCCATTACCAGACAATAATAACCCTCACAATTTCCTAGTGCTCCCTCTACAATGTTGGAGACAAAAAATATCAATTCCATCTCAAGGCAAAGTACCCAAAATGCAATGGGGGCAACAAGATGTTCAAACACCCTCTCAGAAATGTGTTGGAAAGTGCCATACTATAAAAATAGCTCTGAAATCACTAAAGTGCATCTCACAACTCCCTTCACGTGTCAGCAAGTGGCAGGCCACACCCGATTCAAGTGACAAGCTAGTAGAGCAAAATACACAATGGACCGCAAAATGCACAATGGGCCTCCTTCACACTAGTCCATGCACAATGGGATGCCCCGAAAGAAGAAAGACAGAGCTACTGTGGCCGAACACCAAAAGGGCACTTCATTACACTTGATGCTATATTTCTCGGCTTACCTCTCATAACTTTCCCAAGTTGCTTTCCATGGTGGCTTGTTAAAAAATCTGCCTTCACACACAATGAAAGAGCGACATGGAAAGTCAGGATAGGCCTGACCCGATAGAGACGGAATGCCAAACCCAGACTCGGAAAGACAAGAAGCACAGGACACAGACACATGGTAGACTGCAAGGGCCAAAAGCTGTTGACTAAGCAGAACAAGTACCAGGAGATAATGGAATGGAAAAAGAATAAACTTTTATTGCACAAAACAAAGATGCATATAGTAAATATTAAACCACAGCCACCAGACAAGGAAAGCAATGCCAAATTAAAGAAACCAGGTCACAAAAGCCTGCAAGGGAATGCAACCAATAAGGAAAATGATCCCTTATGCAAAAGAACAGAAGGTATGCAGCCAGTGCAAAATGTGCAACTACAGTAAATAAGTCAGGAAGTGTAAGTGGGCAAGGAGCGAGTTCACCTGTAAAGCCACGAGGAAGAATTCTCTAAAGGGCTTTAAGTTTTAGGAATTGACCCACAGATGTCATTTCAGGTTAGAATGAATATTCTTGAACAATTCTTTATGAAGGATTAGTGAAAATTCATATTTTGCCATGAGGTATGTTGTCCTGCCTGACTGTATTTCTGTCCACGAACTGAGAAAAGCCGACTTTGTGGAGCAACCAAATGCATCAAGTTCAAACAAATTCTTTAGGTAGGTATCATTCTGCTAATGTTCTTATAACTTGCCTGGCTTGTGATCGAAGTGGTGTATGTATAGGGATCCATAATAAGGAATTCTGGAAATATCAGGTGGTCTCGTCGCTTGATTGCCGACCCATTCTCCAACCAAACTGTGCGTTTGATGTGAAAACAAAGACAATCTGGAAGCTGAAATTGTTAATTTTTAATTACCAATTTGATTAATCTAGTTTTCCTGAAACCACAATAGAGAGACTTTTCTGAGCATTTAAATTCTTTATTAGCAAACAATCTTACAAAGGACATAAGATGAATTCCAAAAAATATTTGTAAACAAAATGCAAAATACATGTAGTATACTGTAAATAATTAAAACATACTGCTGGTGGATATTCATCATACGATAGGGTGAAATTATGAGTTAAATTTTTATAGATGCATCCACACTGTATGGAAAATTGTTACTGTACACTACCATAATTTTTTTGAAGGGTGTAACCATTTGCAACAGTTCTGTTCAGTCCTTTGAATAAATCATGGAGTTAGGCTATCGAAAAAAAGTTAATATAGTACACAAGGAAATCCCAATAATGTGAATTATCTACAAGAAATCATTAGGCAGGACAGGGATCGAACCAGCATCCTGGCTGACCCCAGAAGCTCGTCTTACCTCATGTACTCTGGACTCCTATAGTAGATTTGGGCAGACTCGAGGTTATTCAATCTTTAGCATGTTATAGTCCATTGGTTACGGCACAGAATACACAGAATGCTGGTTCCATCTCCGTGCAGCTCCAATAATTGTCTCACTTAAGGTCATTATCGGCAGAAAGGATTCAAGTTTGGGAAAGAACTGAAAACTGTAGGCATATTCACCTGATGGATATCCATCCCATAAGTGAAATAAGATCTTGTTCAAAAGGTGGATCCAAAAGTAAGAATTAGAAGATAAATTTTTTTTTTTTTAAAGAAGTCTTTTTTTTTTAAGAATATCATAGAAAAGCACATTAGATCCCAGTGCAGGAGCTGTGAAAACCTTTAAATTAAAATTCTATATTTGGTTTTCAGTTATTCAAGTTTAACACCTCATTACGCAATTTAATAAAGATGCAAACACCGAGAGAATTTTTTTTAACTGGTCAAAATTTATACCTTATGTTAATTCGACTTGTATATTGTATATAGTGACATTAAAACTAGGGGTCAATTAGACCTTTCAGAGGGGTTTCAAAAAACCTTTTGTTTGAACTAAGAATTTAGTACAATAAAATGAAAAACAAGAAAGGAGTAAAATAAGAAAAAAACAAAAAAAATACTTTTGCCAACCATTTTTTTACTTGTGTATTATAAATAAGGGTCCCAAGGAAAGAATAATTACAACTCCTTACAGCTTCATTAACCCTTGGACTGCTCAGCTATTTAAAGAACTACACTGAGGTGTCCAAGACAAAAAATAGTTAAGAAATCAAATGAGGAAAATCACACACACTGCAATTTGCACAATTGCAGTGCAAATTGAAACTGCAGACAGCAACTGCAGCAGTGCAATGGTTAGTATAAACAAAAGTCAAGTTGAGCTTGCCTTCCCAATTGTTAGTTGCTTGGTAAAGGTAGTTTTAACAGGGGACCCAGACTTTTTTGTGCAGCTTTCACAAGTGACCTCAGTTACTTGTTCTTGTGTAATATAAGAGTCCAAGAGCTCTTGAAGTGTAACCTCTCCCCAAGGCAGTGATGGGAGAGAGAGAGACAGCGACTCGAAGCTTGTCCACTGGGCAGGATTCTGAAAGATTCAATGTCAACAACGTCTAGTCTAGAGGACACCCAACCCACACATCTGAAAATGAAGAACCAACGACGTTTCGGTCCATCCTGGACCATTATCAAGTCATGTATTCTAGTACAGGTACTTAATTCTAATGGAAGTATCATAAGATTTGAGTCAACCTTTTTTATTAAATGGCTATAAATGTAAAAGCATTTGATTTACTGTACAGCCATAAATTTATAGTACATAATGTAATAATTTCAAAACTAAACTAAAATTATTCAAACTAGAATTTGTTGTATAAATTATATAAACAATGACTGTATGGTATATGAAATAATTATAAATGAATTATAATTATTATACGATTATTGTTTGCACAGTTTATACCACAAATTTTAGTTCTTGATAAATTCATCAATACGGAGAATTTCAAAATTAACTGGACTGCATATGAAAAATTAATTTACACCAAATAGAAAAATGAAAGCAATGATCAATGAAACAGTACATACAAGGAAAGTCATGTTCGTTCATGTGCAAGTCAAAAGTAATTACCAGAACATGACACCAAGCATAGAAGATTATTTATTACCAATAGTTAATAAAAACAATCATTTTAACAATAAAATTGCAGCATAATGATAAAATTACAGTATAATAATAAACAAGACAAATTTAATTACTCCACCGCTCACCTTATGTCCACACAAGGTGCATTGCAGTTGACTGGCCAAGTACCCCCTGAAAGGACTGTCGTGCTGATCACTGTGGATCTTCCAGTAAGTATTCGAGTCCCGAGCCCGCGTTGCCGCGGAACCTGTATGCGACTCTTTGCCTTGTCTGTGCGTTTTATGTCTTTGGGCCTCTTCAGAATTTACATATATATTTTCAGTTATCGCTACATCACTTTTGTGTCCCTTACAATTCTTATTACTATCACAATCAAGCTTGGTATCAAGACTAACTTCCATGTTTGATTCATCTTTTAAAATGTTATGATTTTTGTTCCGTATTGCCAAAGAGTGCTGAAGAGAACCGTCACAGATATGAGTTGATACATCACCATGCATCCCAACCTTAAAATTATCTTCACAACCCTTGTTATCACAGCTTTGATTGCTAACATTAGCAGCTTTGGTTCCATTAGCAGTAACATTTGCTTCATCACACTTATCCACTACCAAAATTCCATTTATTTTGCAAGAAAAACTGTCACATCTTTTGACTGCATTTGTGGAGCCTTTCATTTGCAATTCCCTCCTTTCTACACACATCTTTTTAGTAACACCATCTTCACCAATCTGTCCCCAGGAGTTGGCCTTTACGACCACTCCATCTTCCAGTGAATTCATGCAGTTAACATCCACCCACGAAATGTCGAGAAGCGAAGGTACAGTGGTAGCACTTATCAGCTCGTCATCTATAGTAGCAGTGAGCACATGAAAGAGCTCATGTGTGTCTTGCTCTTCTGACGAGATGATCCAATCATGTCCCCTTAGTGCACTCAGCACCTCACCAGCACATGCATCGCCACTAAGGCCACTTTCATTATTTAAAACTGAAAGAAAATGAACAAATGTTAATGCAGGCGACGAGTCACAATAACGTGGCTGAAGTATGTTGACCAGACCACACACTAGAAGGTGAAGGGACGACGACGTTTCGGTCCGTCCTGGACCATTCTCAATCGACTTGAGAATGGTCCAGGACGGACCGAAACGTCATCGTCCCTTCAACTTCTAGTGTGTGGTCTGGTCAACAAATGTTAATCCTGTACTGTACAGCAATACAAATTTTCTTTTGCCAGTCCAGCAATACAGTATTTCTCTATGATTACTAAACTTGTCCCACTTGTAACGACAGCTTTTAGCAGAGAATGATAAGAGATCAAGCAGATTACAGTACTTCAAAGTTTTGTGTGCGTGCTTTAAACTGATAATTGTGACCAAAAATAAAGTTATAGCAATGAGGTCAAAAAGGATGTGTGTACAGTACGATAATAATATGACTGAAGACACAAGAGAACTGATAAATTTAAATACCTAAGAATAGTTTTAAAAACTAAATTGTATGATAAAGAATCAGAATCACTACACAAAAAAATCACACTAACATATATATCAATGAGAAAATTACTGTTATAGGCAATATAAATAGTAGAATGAGTACCATCGTTCTTGGGGACCAGATAGTTTATACATGAGCTAGAAATGATGAAAAAAAAGCTGCAGATTAAAACATTCACAACATGAAATACATCGATAGGTTAATAATACAGGCCATCCCAGTGACGACATTGACACCATCTGTTGATCGCACCCAACCCCATTTTCTGTTCCCTGGTGGAAGGCTGTGATCTTACAGACCCCTGTGTAGTTTCTTTCTTACTAACCACATTTTTACTCCCCAGAAGTGATGTGGGTGGTATCTTGGTCAACAGGAATCAGTTCACCCAGGTCAGTCCTGAACTCAAGACATGCTCTAGTGAGAACAAATGGCCAAGTCGGTATAGACAGTGATTTGCCTGTGATACTTGATAAAGTAGTGGTGATTGGACAGACGTACCCCGGGATGGCCAAGTTGAGTAAAGAGATGGAAGTACTGTCCATCTGTTAAGGCTTGTTATAAGCACAGGAAGTTTGCCAGCATGTTGCTGGAGACCTCCACCAGCGTGTTGCTGGAGAGTAGATGTGGTGTTTTGACACCGTGATGATACTGTATAGCACTGGTCCACGATTTACCGACAAAGGTGAACTCGCCAGCATGAGGACCATAGAAGACTGACTCAGGGAGGGTACCTCGAGTGTTGTACGATAGAAGATAAGTGGACTCACCAGGAAAGAAGATTGCAGAAGTTTTATAGAGTCCTGTGCAAAAGTAACACCTGCAGTGTTATGTCATGTATATATAGGTAAGAATTACACTTGGTGATGGTTCTGTTTAGTGTTGTTTACCCACTTCCCCTTTAGATTGATTATTACTGCCTGTTCTTAATAACTTGCCTATGACTCAGGGTGGCATCGAGTAAGAAGAGGCACTAAGGCCCCATATACAGTTTGAGAAGTAAAGAACCCGGTTACTGGCCAAGTGAGGCCGTAAGTCTCCAATTTACCCATGGAATGTGTTCAGAAAAGGTGTTCATAAATTGAAACCAAATTTCCCTCTAGCATGGGGATGGGGTAGATGCGTTATTATCAGCAAATTGAATCGCAAGGCTCCTTAAATACACACAATCTATAACTACTGTAGAGTACTATGAAAATCACCTCAATTATGAACAGATTTATTAGTCATGTATGTGCATTCCAGATTCTAAGCTTAAAGTGGTTGTGCAATTACACACTTGTAAATGATACCTTTAAGTAGATTGTGAAGAGCAGACACAAGTGGCGGTGATGAATCGGAGACCTTCGTGTTGAGCCAAGCGATGAACAGAGGACAAGATGCCAGTGACTGTACCAGGGCATTCAGAAAGCACGAATTACCAATATTTGCCAGACCAGGGATATTATCTGCAATCAAGATTTATGATCATTCACATAATAAATTACAATTTGTTTTTATTGCTTATTTTCCTTCATTTTGTCAGGAGAGTCATTCTATCATACTGACAATAATATGCAATACACCAATATTACCTACTGTACTACAGGACACTTAGAAGACAAAGGTAGACTTGTCATCTACAGGTTATTAAAGGTTGTGAATAACTCAAATTGGGCCTAAATTAATGCCATTAGATTTTATTAATTCTGGAACTTTTCATAGTTCCAGAGGGGGAAGGGGATGTGATACACTTTAAATAGTACCATGCTGAACAGGTAACAAATACTTTAGACATAGTACAGTACTAACAGATAAAGACTGATGGATAAATACAGATTAACATAAATCCTGAGGTGTGAACATACAGTATTGTATGTACACTGACCTCCCAGCTGAATGGACAGGTTCACATTGGGCCCATCTGTTGCATGGGAGAATGCAAAAGCAGTGCATAAAGTGGGAAAATGTGCCAGGTCAAATGTAGGGACAGAACCTTTGAGAGACTACCGTCCCCTGCCCCATCCCACCACACCCGGAGAACAGAACCTCCCCCCCCCCTCCCCTACCTTAAGAATAGCCTCACCCAACCTTGATGTGCCGGTGTAGTTTTTTATGCACCAGTGTAGAAAAAGTGTCTGTGCAAGCTTTCACTGTGCACCGGCTTCCTGTGCACAATGAAAAAATAAACCATTTCATTCACCTGGGCTCCAGGAGTCACGAACCGTGGATCCCACGCGTGTGAGGCCCAAGCTCTATCAACTGGGTAGTCTTAATAATGGTCTACATAACAGTCTTAAAGTAAACCATACCTATTCCCATTTTCTAAATACACCCAACAAACATTTTCGTACATTAGCTTAACTTGTCCAGAAAAACCTGTCAAACTGGAAATAGGAAAATTCAAAAAGAGACCTAAATAATAGTTGTGCAGTACCATCCTATGCTTTATATAAATTGATTCTAACTTAAGAAAAATACTAACTACATTGTATATAATGCATAGAACATTATATATACTTTGTGCAGTGTGTGACATTGTTTGAATATAAATAGGTCACATCCTGGGATATCTTTGGATTTTAATCAAGTGGGGCGACTTGTCCTAATACCGTCCAGAGTAACTGTCGCTTATTCTACCCTTGACATAAGGAGTATACAGCTTAACAACGCCCTGAGACCAGGTACCTTTCTTCCTCCTCCTCCTGCGGGTGTCCGTCGGGGCGCCGAAGATGACATAGGCGCTGACGATGATGACGCCGACGAGGACGAGGGAGGTGCGCAGCGCCGCTGGGATCATCCCAACCTCCACCATTATGTCCTCGTCCCCCTCTTCCTTCCTTCCTCTCTCCTCTCCCTCGAGGCCCTAAGCCTCCTTCTTCTCTTGCTTCTTCCTGCCTCTACCTCGCCTGCGTCGTCGCGTCTCTCCTGCGTCGGGAGGAAGACATTCTCAAGAACACCTCGGGAAAGTTTCTCCTTGAGTCTTGTGAATTATGGAACTACACTCGCTGCTATTTTGATCAGTGACTTGAGCCTCGTTAAAAATGGGTTGCGTAAGTAATATATTGTTTTATATTTTGTATCTTTCGTTACTTTTGCCATAAAGAGTCTTTGCAATACCGAAAGAAACTTAATAAAACTAAAAGTCTAAATTGTTAATAAGGCACTTTTTGTTATAAAACGATCATGATATAATATAATATTTGCTAGATTATGAGCTTTCTTTAAAAACGGGATTCGTCCTACGAAATCATTCGTTCTCTTTCCATTAATTTCGTTCACGGTGAAATATGTTGCACTGTCTTAAATGTGTGACATTCGTATAATTGCCTGAACAATAAAAAAATTATCAAATGTGTGTGTGTGCGCGCGCGCGCTCGCCCCCCCCACAAACACATACATATATACATACATACATACATACATACATTTGAGACAGACACATGCACGCTTGGAGGTCGTAGTCCTAATGACCCGGGTTCGATTCCAGGCGGAGGCGGAAGCAAATGAGAGTTTTTCACCCTGATGCTGCTGTTCATCTAGCAGTAAATAGGTACCTGGGAGTCAGACAGCTGCTTCCGGGTGATATGTGTGTTAGAGAAATATATGTAGTAGATATAATATAGGAAAATAGATTGGTTAGAAAGGCAGGGTCCAAGAGCTAATTGCTTGATTCTGCAGACACAAATAGTAAATTACACACACACACACACACACACACACACACACACACACACACACACACATACATAATCAGGATTGAAAGATTGCCCCTGAAGCCCACATCAAGAGAATGTCGTCAGCGGTATATGACAGGTTGACCAACATAAGAATGACCTTTAGAAGCTTGTGTAAGGAATCACTCAGAACCTTGTATTCCACATAAGCAAGACCAATCTTGGAATATACGGCTCCAACCTGGAGTCCGTGCATTGTCAAGCACAAGACGAAGGTTCAAAGATCTTCACTAGACTAGTTCCAGAATTAAGAGGCATAAGTTACGAGGAAAGTTACTCACCTAGTTGTGTTTGCGGGGGTTGAGCTCTGGCTCTTTGGTCCCGCCTCTCAACCGTCAATCAACAGGTGTACAGATTCCTGAGCCTATCGGGCTCTGTCATATCTACACTTGAAACTGTGTATGGAGTCAGCCTCCACCACATCACTTCCTAATGCATTCCATTTGTCAACCACTCTGACACTAAAAAAGTTCTTTCTAATATCTCTGTGGCTCATTTGGGCACTCAGTTTCCACCTGTGTCCGCTAGTACGTGTGCCCCTTGTGTTAAATAGACTGTCTTTATCTACCCTATCATCCCCTTCAGAATCTTGAATGTGGTGATCATGTCCCCCCTAACTCTTCTGTCTTCCAGCGAAGTGAGGTTTAATTCCCGTAGTCTCTCCTCGTAGCTCATACCTCTCAGCTCGGGTACTAGTCTGGTGGCAAACCTTTGAACCTTTTCCAGTTTAGTCTTATCCTTGACTAGATATGGACTCCATGCTGGGGCTGCATACTCCAGGATTGGCCTGACATATGTGGTATACAAAGTTCTGAATGATTCTTTACACAAGTTTCTGAATGCCGTTCGTATGTTGGCCAGCCTGGCATATGCCGCTGATGTTATCCGCTTGATATGTGCTGCAGGAGACAGGTCTGGCGTGATATCAACCCCCAAGTCTTTTTCCTTCTCTGACTCCTGAAGAATTTCCTCTCCCAGATGATACCTTGTATCTGGCCTCCTGCTCCCTACACCTATCTTCATTACATTACATTTGGTTGGGTTAAACTCTAACAACCATTTGTTCGACCATTCCTTCAGCTTGTCTAGGTCTTCGTGTGTGAATTAGACCTCACGTCACTGGAAGACAGAAGAGTTTGGGAGACATGATAACAACACATAAAATTCTTAGGGGAATTGACAGGGTAGATAAAGACTATTTAGCATAGGTAGTAGGGACACAGGTGGAAACTTTGCTTTCAAATTGAAACATGGGTTGATCTTTAATTCTTTAACGAGGTGGTGAATCTGGTAGTGAAGCTGAAAGCCATCATGCAATTTCATCTTAATTGCAGCTCCTCCGAGTAGGAGGGAAGGAAATTTTCAAGAGAAAGCGCCAAGCCATTACGACAATATATATGTCATTGCGACGAAACTGAACAGTGCTTGAACCCTATGCACAGAGTAAGTAAGCCCAGCTTATGAAGCCCAGAATATAACTATCCCGTTATTGAACATAATTTACTATACCCCTACTAATTCGAATATTTTTTCTGTCCATAGCATTATATAGTGGTTAATATTGGGGAGTAAATTTGTACCATGAACGTATAAAGTGTGTGGGCGAAATGGTACAAATATACGCGGGCGATCCGTCTTGTGTACCAAAGGCAGGCATCACACGGCGGCCGCTGATTGGTGGGCGGGCGGCGCACCTGAGGCCAGACCTGTAAACAACGGGAGAGAAGAGCATCGGCGGAGGCTGCACTCGGGGGATAATAAAGGCATTCGATCTTATTTTTTCGCCATTTTATACCTTCAGAACCGCTCTTGGAAGTGTGTCGTCAGCGCTATAAACATGTGTTGTCGCCGAGATGTTTACGAACTGACAGCACGATAATGAATTTGCCGCTTCCTGTTTCTTAAAACCCGTAAACTGCAAGTAACTATCCTTAGTGAGGTTGGTGACGAGTAGCGAGTAGAAGGTCATCTTGTGGTCCGTGTTTGACCCCAAACTGGACCCTAAGTAACCTTTGCCGCCCCGCTAGGCTGCCCTTTGTAGTCTTCTTGACCTGATGTTGAACATGTGTGAGAGTATTGGTCAGGTTGTTCACGGGCTTTTCGACAATAGATCGTTTTCTTATTGTTAAAATCCTATATATATATGGTTAGCTTCGGTTGTGTTAGGGTTGGAGTAGGTTTGGTTTAAAAAAAAATACTTCTCCATAATGTCCTTTCATTCTTATCTATTGAATTCGAAATTACCCCCGATTATGTAGTTTTTCTTTCATATTCGATGAAGTTTTAGGATAATTAAAAATAACATTCAGGTTTGAGCCATTATATAAACAAATAATAGTGTAATATTTATATACAATAACCAACCAATAACCGTTGGAGTGCCACAGGGCAGCATCTTGGGACCTCTCCTATTTCTTATATACATCATGATCTTCCTAATGTCTCTAACATTCTTATACCTATATTGTTTGCTGATGATACTACCCTCATCTACTCAAACCTCAACCCACATACACTAAATAATGTTAATAATGAACTAAAAAAATCCACTTATGGATGTCAACCAACAAACTAACACTTAACATAAAAAAAGACCTAGTACATCTTATTTGGAAGCAAATCAACAAATGCAATTCAGCTTCAGATAGACAATGTTAACATTAGTAATAATAATTACCAAGATCCCAGATTATTGAAGCATTAAAAGCTGGGAGTACAGCACAGTATAGTAATATAAGTTATGGAGTCCCATAGCACTTTCAGAATTTTTGGCACAAATCTGAAATAAGCTTGAATAATGGTTTTGTGGCATGTAATATTGGGCACTACAATATGGTTTTGTGACATGTAATATTGGGCACTACAATATGGTTTTGTGACATGTAATATTGGGCACTACAATATGGTTTTGTGACATGTAATATTGGGCATTACAATATGGTTTTGTGACATGTAATATTGGGCATTACAATATGGTTTTGTGACATGTGATATTGGGCACTACAATATGGTTTTGTGACATGTGACATTGGGTACTACAATATGGTTTTGTGACGTGATATTGGGCACTACAATATGGTTTTGTGACATGTGATATTGGGCACTACAATATGGTTTTGTGACATGTAATATTGGGCACTACAATATGGTTTTGTGACATGTAATATTGGGCACTACAATATGGTTTTGTGACATGTAATATTGGGCACTACAATATGGTTTTGTAACATGTAATATTGGGCACTACAATATGGTTTTGTGACATGTAATATTGGGTACTACACTTAAGAACCTGAACCTAATTTCAGGTTCTTAGCTTAACCGTATTATCCTAACCTCGTTAATTCCAGCCTAAACCTCACTTGTACAGAATGTCTAGTGGAAGATGTTAGTCCCAATAGTCTGCATAGTACTGATGGTTCTTATGGGTGTGCACATTTTTGCCATTTTGAGGGTGAATGAGGTTAGTTTTTTTTGATGAGTGAATGAGGTATGAGGTCAAGTTAGGGTGTGTTATTTACTCGTATTGTGAAAATAGTTGTTGTTGTTCAGTACTGTGGAAATATTAACTGTAAAGTTTTAACAAATAATGTAAACAGCATTCTAGTATAAATATCATGCTGTACAGTGTAACTGTTTTATTAGACTTAATTCTGAGTGCATGAGGATAATGTATCGAGGTCATTTTGGAACGTTAAGGACCAAGTCTTGACCCCCTGTTTTATAAAGCAATATTGAGGCACATTCAATACATACAGTATGTGTAGTTTATTATTATGGTGCAATTTGTTTTGTTATACATATATATATAAATGGTTAGCATAAAGTATTGTGTAAACTAAAACTAATGTTTTAAGGAAAATTCCTAGAGGAAACTATACATAGAGTAAATATACTATACTGAAATTTCTTGTTTTAAATTTTAATTGTATCATGGTTGTATGTTTTAATTTATTTTTTCCCTGCTACTGTGTATATTGTACCATCTTGAAAAGTTTTGGGACATCTTAAAATTAAATATAAAAGTAGAGTAATCATGCTCTATAGAGCATGATTATTATAGATTATAACTATACTAGAGTTAAATGCATACTTCACAAACTGTCAGTAAATGTCAGCCATGCTGTTTGTGTTGGCTGAAATTAATTAATCATATTAATCTTTTTTTTTTTGCAGAAGCTTCAACCATGAGAGAGAGTGCACGCTGCCAGATGTGGGTCACTCTAGCCTTACTGATATTAGCGAGATACGTCAACGGCCAGGCTAAAGTAAAGCCTGTCACCACTCACCTCTCAGCAAAATGGACTCACACACCCTTGTTGCTAGAGACTGCAGAGTACATGGGAGAGGAAAGTCCTGCAACCTTTTGGAGCTTTGTGGATGTTATTACCGAAGTCAATCCGGACATATTGAATTCTAGTAAGATATTGTAATGAGTTTGTATGAGTATATGTAATATTCTTTCAAGTATTAATATACGTATTTAACAATAATACTTGTTCTGTGTACAAGCTGTCCTTGATTAGCACAAATTTGCCATAAAACATAGATATTGACTATTAAATAACTTAATTTTAACCAGGTATTCAAAATTGACAAAATTTACTCATTATGGCATTTGTTCTGAGTTTTAGGTCTCTAATAGCATCAGAAAAATTGACAAGTGGACTCAGTTAGGATTTGTGTGTAGTGTTCCAGGAATGCATTCTTGCATTATTCGAGGGCTGCCATGTACTTTTACGTTGTTGGCTTATAAATTTTGCTAGATATTTTTTCAAATGTTTGAGCCTGATCTTTATATACATATATTTGTAGAATGAAGTTTTATTGTTTTACTTCATTGTGTATTCTTCCAACTAGGCAATGAGAAGGAGATATTTGAAAAGACACTCTCGGCAGCAGGGCAGTTTCTCTCCCCATCTCAGATTCGTGTGTTAAAACTGAGCTTGTCACTACGGGCTTACTCTCCCAAAATTGAGATGTTCCACCAGATAGCGCATGACCGAGATCTTCCAAGCACCGAGGAGTGTGGCGCTACAGTCGATGTTAACGGGGAGTTAACTTGTGATGTTGACAAAGTTAAACTACTTATCGAAAAGGAAACTGGAAGTAAACCAATCACATATGAAGTTGATCACCATTTTCCAGGAGGAGAAAGTGCTAAGGTATTACTTTTTCTTTACTGTAATCTTCTAAATTGATGTTAATCCTTCTATAATTGGTTTTCTACAATTGAAAGCAATTGTGATTCACCCACATGTGGTACCCTATTATGATATACATACATATGGTACCCTATTGTGAGTCACCCACATATGGTACCCTATTGTGAATCACCCACATATGGTACCCTATTGTGAGTCACCCACATATGGTACCCTATTGTGAGTCACCCACATATGGTACCCTATTGTGAATCACCCACATATGGTACCCTATTGTGAATCACCCACATATGGTACCCTATTGTGAGTCACCCACATATGGTACCCTATTGTGAGTCACCCACATATGGTACCCTATTGTGAGTCACCCACATATGGTACCCTATTGTGAGTCACCCACATATGGTACCCTATTGTGAGTCACCCACATATGGTACCCTATTGTGAGTCACCCACATATGGTACCCTATTGTGAGTCACCCACATATGGTACCCTATTGTGAGTCACCCACATATGGTACCCTATTGTGAGTCACCCACATATGGTACCCTATTGTGAGTCACCCACATATGGTACTCTGACAGTGCATTAGTTTACTTGCTTCACTGAACATATACTTGTCTTGGCATAATGTGGCGTGCTGTATTATTCATGATGTTAATTAGGGATAAGAACTAAGACTATAAGGAGGGAGTAGCTGCTTTATACAGTAATACAGTCTATTGTATTCTAGTATACAAAAGAATCCAGTCTGATTATTCCAAAGAGCCACTTTAAGAAAGAACTAAAATATTATATTTGATTTGTGTTAAATAATTTGTTATATGGGTTTAATATTTTAAAGATCTAATAGATTCCTAATAAATCAGGTTGGAGTGGTTCTATATGGCGAATTGGGGTCGGCTGAATTCCAAACATTCCATTCAGCGCTGAAGGATTTTGCGAGTGCAGGCAAGATCGACTATGTTTTACGCCATAGAGTGAAGGTAAGAAAGTACTCGAGTTGATTCTATACGTTTTCTTCATCATTGTTGTCTATATTATCAGCGTAATCATTATTATCTCTTGCATCTTTGTTTTTATAGTTGTTTGTCGTGTGATAAATTTCACGGTTAAATAGACTGTGATGTTATATACCTTCATCAGCCCTTTCAAAACTTGCACAAGTAGGTGATGCATATTGGATGGCTATTTATTTAGCTTTTTAATAGGAGGAAGTATTTAGATTGCAAATAGGGCACATAAGTAATGTGAAAAGGGAAAGAAAGTTGCTCACGTTTGTTAATACAGTAATATTAGTTAGTAATGGAACTTCTAAAAGAGTTCCATTTTATGGCAAAGTGTTTATGTTCCATTTTATTAAAACTTGTTGTTCATTCTGTTGTTATAGGAGCGTTCCCCCAAAAAAGTTCGCCTTAGTGGCTATGGAGTGGAACTTGCCATTAAGAGCACTGAGTATAAGGCCCAAGACGACACCAAAGTTCAGGAGGATGAACAGAGGCAAGAAGAGAACGAAGAACACGAAGTAGAAGTTGAGGGCTTCCTGTTTTCCAAGTTAGAGTAAGTTATTTTCTGTTCTGGACATCTTTAATAACATTCTACTAGTAATCAATTGTATAAAGTGTGGCATAAGAGATTACCTACCTTGTGGTTGGTTACCTTGTTGGTTCCAGAGACCAATGTCTGTGCGGAAGCGACCAAACAAATGTTGTTTCTCCATCTTCTGATGTGTGTGGTTTGGTCATCATGGCATCAGCCAGTTGTGTTTGATTATTCAAGTTTAGACACTTAAATTGAGATTCTCATTTGTTGTCATGGTTTGTCTATAGTAAATTGTCTTCACATCAGATTTGTCTATTTTTTGTTCGTTACACTTGAAACACTAATTCATAAACAAAGAAAAATTTAGGTAAAATTTTGTCACACCCGTAACTTATTTTTTTTACAGGGCTCTTCACCCAGATAAAAGAGATGAACTAAATCAACTGAGAAGTCACCTGGAAGAGTCACGCCATGAAATGGCTCCACTGAAAGTCTGGCAGTTGCAGCATTTGAGCATGCAAGCTGCCCAACGCATCATGTCGGCTCCGCCAGATCAACAGCTTAGTCTCTTTGTACACACAGCACAGAACTTCCCAATGCTTGCCCGCTCACTTGTTAGAATAAAGGTATGTTTTAATTGTATTTTCAAATTACAGTGGCGCCTCGATTAATAAGTTTAATCCGTTCCGGCACCGAGCTTGCCATGTGGAAAACTCGTCTTGCGAAACAACAACAAAACTGTCGTCGGAGGTGTCCGAGAACCAGCGGGAACGCTCGTTAATCGAGCAAAAGCTTGTCAGTCGAAACATATTTTCTGCGAGTGGCTTGCTTGTTACTCAAAATGCTCGTAACTGGAGCTGCTCATCACTCGAGGTTCCACTGTACTTATGTTAGAGCCTTTACTTTCGTTGATGTGACTCACGAAGGGAGAATTCAATTCAAACATCCTAGAGAGTTTGTTAGTTTTTGAACAAATCAGAACATACAAAAAGACATGGGGCAATATCTATGACAACAGCAGAACTATGATATAAGAGATAGTGTATAGATCAATAAAATGTAGCAAAACATCTTAGTTACTTATCGTTTATTCAACTAAATTTATTTTCATACTAAAATGTTTAGTATCAAAATATATCTGAAAGTGTTTAATATATGTTAGTCTTTGCAATGTTACATTTCCATGAATTGGTGTACAGTATTTCATTTTGAAATTGCTTTATGATTTTGTTTTTGAAATAAAGCAGTTTCAAAATGAAATACCCTGTACGATTTGTAAAAACAAAAATGACTTCGTTCCTGTGTGCCCACATTATGTGTAGTCTGTTGAATTTAGGTGACACTGAGAGTATGGTACAAATGTAAACATAGAATTGAAAATTTCTAGGTAGATGAAAAAATGAAGAGAGAAATTCTGAAGAACCAGAACCAGCTGAGCACGCAGATGGAAGTGAATCCCTCAGATGCTGCATTATACATCAATGGAATGCATCTTGACATGGATTTCACCAACATCTTCACGCTTCTTGATCATGTCCGCAGTGAGGAGAGAGTAATGGGAGGCCTTCACAAACTGGGTTAGTCGTATTGGAGTATATTGTCCGATATACTCCAATTCATTGGAGTAAATGTAATTAATGCTATTACATTTATAATTGCACTTGTACACGTGTTCATATCATTATAATTATCTTCAACAGGTGTTCATGGAGAATCTTTAAGCACCCTCTTGCATTTAGATGTCAGTGAAAGCACCCAGGAATATGGTATCGATATTAGAGATTCGGCCATTATGTGGATGAACAACATTGAGACTGATAAAGCATACCGCAAGTGGCCGTCATCGACGGGAGAACTTCTCCGGCCGACGTATCCTGGCATGTTGCGCAGTATAAGGAAGAATTTTCACAACTTGGTAAGAAATCTTTTACTTTTCTGTCTTTTATAATAGCTCTGGATTTTGAGAGTTGAATAGTGATTGAAATAACTGAAAGACTGTTAGATATTAATTGTTAACTACTGTAGTTATAAACAGTTCCTTATCAGAATATTCTCACTAATGCTTTGATGCCATATAAGCTTTTGTATATATTATACTACTTTTTCATTTATATTTTTAATTATTTCTGTAATCTACATTAAAGCTTCTCCATTGGCATATTTTATTTGATCATGTACTGGTTTTGCCTAACTTTTTCAGGTCATTGTAGCTGACCCTAGTAAGTCCACAACAGCTGACTTGATAAGATTGGTTGAAGGATTTGTGACACACACCGCACCGGTACGTGTTGGTCTGGTGATGGCAGTTAACCCAGATGAGTCTCTGCGTGGCTTTGATGATGCTGGGCTGGCGATGCTCTGTGCCTTTAACTATGTGGCAGAGAACATGTCGGGAAGAGAAGATATGAACTACAGGGCTCTTCAGTTCCTGATTGACGTAAGTAAAATGACTAGAAAAACTGCACGTTTCATCATTATTTACCTTTTTGTATTTCCATCCTTAGGTAACTTTTGGAAGACTGGTGCCTACATATCAGTGCTTACTTATCAGTGACCATCGGGGGGGTGAGATTGAGCTCTTTATGCCCAGTCTCATTTGTACCTGGTGCACTAATTATCTAAATTTAAAGCTCTCATTATATTTTCCTTAAAGCTGTGGTTGGAATTGGTGGAGGGGTAAGGGATGATGATAAAGATAAGCATGTGAGGATGTTCAATGGTTGCTGGGAGGCTAGAAATTGCAGTGTAAAAGGAAGCATTAATACGAATGAGATTGGATATGATAGGGGTAGAAGAGTTGAAGATACATCGATGAAAAAGATGAGTACATCAGTGAGACATCGGAGATACTGTATCTCCGGAGATGTGAGACATCGGGAAAGCTGCTGCAGCTGTTAAGGTCGTTATGTACCAAAATTTTAAAATGTAGTTCAGAAAAAGTAATGAAGTTTGTGTGAAGAATTTATTGGATTGCACTGTTGATAGTGGCACTGCACTGGATTATTTGCCCTCTGATAAAAATGTAGTAGAATATTTTAAACATTTGAATCCTAGACATTAGTTTGCCCAGTGTAGTGCACCAAGTGTATAACAGGATAAGGCGAGATAATTATGAGAAAGCACTTAGTGTGACTAACATATGGAAGGGCTTTGAGGACAAGGATTTGGAAAATGGGGAAAGGAGTGAACAAATGGTACCTAACCACTTGAACCATTGGGGATCAGACGATGACCCTGAAAGAAGCGAAGACATAACTCTTCCAAGCATTCAGTGATGAATGAGATGAAGAGTTTACACATGAAATATATTTGTAAAAGTTAATGATGGAGTTAATGGCCCCATGAAAGTGGAAAACAGTATAAATTATTATGTATTTAACTAACTTTACCAAGCAGTTATGCATAATACAAACCTGGATTAATTTATTTTTAATAAAATGTGGCTTTAGAGGTAAGAACTAAAGAACACATTGATGGAATTGTTATTGATAATGTTTGTATGTCGAGAAAGGAATAATCAGAGAGAATTCAGTAAGGTAGTTATTTGTTATTTGTACTGAAGAGGGACTAATAAAGATGAATTTCAAAGTAACATTTACTGTTTATATATTAGAATCAGGGACCAGTTCTTTTTGGCTATTTGTAGAATAGGTTGTGAAATATTGGAAAGTGAGACAAGTGACTTGAAGAAAGGGAATGAAGCGTAATTACTACCTAATTAAACCCCAAAAATGTCTAGCTGAAACATTTTCTCATTTTGTGAGTTCTCATAATTGTAAGGCTTATGTTTTTAAAGAATTAGTAATTGTGGATAATTTAAAATTTTGAAGAAATCACTTAATTGCCATCAGTTGACATGGAGTATGAAACTTCGTAGTTAGTGTGTATCCCCCAAGAGCACTTAGATTTTTTAAGTTTGAAACTGTTTAACATGAACCAGGAAAACACACTTTCTGAAATAAGTGGATGCATGTCTAGTAAGATGGCACATCACTAGTCGTGTCAGAAGCACGACTGATGAGTCGGCATTGACATATAAGATGGACTGATTATTGTGCTGCATAATTTTGTTGTACTGTACTGAGGGCACTAAATAAACTGTTTTGAGGTAGCTTGTGTATGTCATTAAAGATTACCAATACTAATAACAACTGCTGTTCAGATTTATTCTAGTGCTCAGGAGGATGTTACTGTGGCTGATGTGACAAGTGCGTTTAAGGGCAAGTATCCCAGCATTGATCTCGACGATGTATTTGGCGAGGACTCGGATTACGATGTGGGCCGTATGCTTGCGCAAGATTTTGTTGAGAAAGCTGGCATCAGTAGTTTGCCTCAGGTAAGTTTAATATTATGTGAAGTTGCTTATTAAATTAAAACACACAGAAAAGCATCATTATAATTGGCATTTTTTCCCATCGATGTTTTCTCAGCCTCTTTTGTGACATTACATATATTCATGGTTTGTCCAGATGTATTGCTTGTTACTGCTCCTTTCAGGTGATTACTCTTATTTCTTTCCCTGGATACTCTACACTGGATACAGGAAGAGTGAAGATGGTTTGGTTGTGGACAGCCCATCCTCTTGTTTTGGTAGTACGTACTTATGGTAACGATAAGGACCATAGTATACATACCGACATACAACGAAATTAGAAAGTAGAAATCTGAAGAAACTGGTTGCTCAAGCGGGTTGGACAAACTGGGAAAACTATTTTTTACTCGTGTTGCTTTGACAAACTATACCAACCTATCCTAACCTCCCTAGGCCTAATACACGATATCTGAGGCCTAATATAGTACATATGTGTGCTATACTAGGCCTAGGAATATTTAAGTTTGGGTTTTAGCTTCATTTATTTTAAAAGAATTCTTTACTAGTCAGTATACTACTATCTAAAAGTTAAAAAACATACGGATCCTGACTATTGACGATTGTCACAACAGGTACATCTAAACAGGAGGATGGGTTGTTGTGGACCATTATAATATTGAGACAGGTAATGGTCTCAACTTGACAGTAGTGTGGGATGGCCTGAGATGTTGCCACTACTTCTGTTGCTAATGGAAGCAGTTTATTTGTTCTATCATGTTATTGCGATTTGTGTTCCCTCTGACTTTTATGTCACCTCTTTGTTCTGATACTTTGCATCGTTATGTTTGTGTGTTGTTTGTTAGACATGCCTCCTTGGTGTCCAAAAATCTAGATTTTGAAAAGTTATTATTTCCTGAACCATATTATTCTTTTAACTTTGGTCATATAATTGCATTAATAAATTTACAATTGCAGGCACTCATGAATGGCATTCCGTTACCAGAAAAGCATCTGAATGTGGATGAATTTGAGGAGGTTGTATTAATGGAAGTGATGCGAACAACACAGTCACTGCAGCGTGCGGTTTACAAAGGTGATCTGAGCGATAAACACGATGTTGTGGACTGGCTGATGGCCCTACCAAACATAATGCCAAGGTGCGTAGCATGCTGATTTTTGTGAATTATTTTTGTTGTTATTATTACATGAACTTATGCGATGGAGGAGAATAAGAAATGTAAGTTTTATTTAATAGAAACTACTCCAAACTACCAATGTATGACATCCTGATAATAGTTTTGTCCATGGGGAGTAGTCTAGTAGCACTGAAAATGAGGTATTCAGGTAGAACCCATTATTGGATGTTGGCAAATATGAATGGGGTGGATTGGGTGCAGACAAATGTCAAACATAACGGTACAGTATTACAAAGAATTGCTATGTAATTGGTATTTGCTTTAAAAAATGAAATGAAATTACAGAACACCATAAATTTTATATTATTGTAATTCAGATAATTGTTTGCAATATTTGATATAGTGAGAATATATGAAGACATTTTACTTACAGGTTGAATGAGAGGATCTTGAGCACAAAGAGTTCAACATTCATTGATCTGACTGGTAACACTGACAAGTCTAAGACTAGCATTTCTGTAGAGGCTTTCTCTGCACTGAAGGCTCCAGAGATGACTTCAGTCATAGCAAACTCGTGTCATTACATTACAACTAAAAGTGAACCTGCCATGCGTCCTGTGACTGCCTGGGTTGTCGGGGATTTTGATACTTACGAAGGAAGAGCCCTGCTGCTAGAAGCTGTAAAATATCTGGTGAGTACGTTGAATTAAAAATATAAAATATTCCACTCGTGGAAAGAGCGTTGAAAGATATCTGGAAAAAAGTTACGCTCTAAGGTATTTAGTATTAATAATTACTGGCATTGATTTTTCAGCGTGAGAGTAACAGTGTCCGTGTGTGTGCCATCCACAACATAGATGCAGATGGTAGCGCCTCAAAAATATTCAGTCGAGCCGTGGAAGTGGCACAGTCAACGTTGCCTCCTGCTGTTGCTCGGCAGTTTTTAGCAAAAATCCTGGTGAAAGAAAATGCCCGAAAAATACTAGATGGAAGTAAGAAGTGGACTGATTTTGAAGTTCCAGTAAGTGAGAAGATTACTTTGTTGACTGAAGTGAAGATTTTAATGTCTTTTCTGGTTTCATTTGCTATTTTTATTTCCTGCTACAAATTCAGCACATTTGGATGTCCAAAATGATTGGCATGTGCAATGATGCAAAGTTCATAAAAGTACAAGAAGTCCGACACTGTTAAGACCGAGGTAGTCTTTAGGATTATCCATACCTTACCTTGTTGTTACTGTGTGTTGATTTCGGGGCTCACGGACCCTGCGACCCGGTCCCTGACCAGGCCTCCTGGTTGCTGGACTGGTCAACCAGGCTGTTGGATTCGGTCCATTACTCTATTCTCGACTCGCATTGCTCTGAAATTCACCTGCTTTCCAATGTGACTTGAATCTGCATCATTCAATGCTGCACAAAACATTGTGGAGTAAGAAGCGTATATATAATTAAAGAGATAATAATAACCTGTGTAGTCATTCTCTGTGGTAATAGTGGCATTTGGGAATGTTTTCCACCTTGAATGTGATGATGAATAAAATTCTCAACTGTGAATTAACAGCTTGTATAAATTATATGTAGAAATTTCTCATATGTTAATAAACATTGTGACTAATAATAATAATAACCATAAACTAGCAGCTGCCTCCCCAAAGAAACTACTGACCAGATAGCACTGTATAGTTGTACATGAGTTGTGGGATCATGAATGTACATGGGTGTTCATATGTGTAAAAGTTATTAATATTCGTGCATTTACTTCTCTTTTCTACGTACAGGGTTTGGAGATGGAAGCATTCCTGTCTCGTCTGACATCATTAAAGGAGGAAGTGTTTAAAATTCAATCCATTTATTGTAGGAAGGTAATGTTGAGTGATCTTGTATTCATTTAGCTACCTATATCAGTATGTATTGTTTGCAAATTTTAATTAATATTAGTTTTATATATATATATATATATATATGTGGTATTATAGCTGTTTGAATATTAATATGATGAAGAATATCAGATAGTAAATGCAATTTTATTATCACCACAGGTGCTGTCCCTAGCTCCAGGGATACGCACTGTGATTGCCAATGGCCGAATGCTAGGAGTCCTTAAACGTGATGAGAAGTTTGTTCAAGAAGACTTTGGTTTACTTGAAAAGTATGTCCAGACTACTTTTGGAGAGAGAATTATGGAGGTTCTCGAAGGAGAAGGTAAATGTTAATCCTCTTTGTAGCTACTTCTTGTTTATTTGTCTATGAGAGCTGAAGATAGGGGTTCCCACGTTGTACAGGAGATGGATGATAAGGATTAAAATGTACAGTGAAGAGTAGTGTAGAAGTGGTCATAATGTGTGCTATTATGTAGTGAGCTGAAGTGTTGGTAGGGTAGAATGCAGAACAAGAGAGGGAAAATAGCTTTGCTTGTATTGTTTAACATCTGTTTAATTTGCTATTGAAATTTTGTTAGGATCTTCAAGTGTGTATAATAAGAGAATAATTATTACTGTCCTATTGTGTGGACTATTGTTGTGTTGTGTATTGTGTCCTATTGATATGAGTCCTTGTGTGGAACAAAACCATTAAGATAAGGGAAGTTGGAGAATGCTTATTGCTTCATGCAAGGTAATTCTTATTTATTCCCAACCTTATTCATTCATGTGTGTCTAACCTACATATAAAACAATCCAGTGACCCCCACATCTGTTATGTTACCTGGTAATATGTTCCATAAATCTGCAACCCTGTTTCCAAACTAATATTTACCCAGGTCTTTTCCTGAATCTAAGCTACTTATTATAAACTGTTCTCCTTCCATTTAACATGTACAGTATTTGTTGAACTGCATATCAGGGTGGATTATATTTAGTCTATATGATACACATATTTACATGTAAAGTATTGAATGGAATGAGTACACAAAATAATAAGGGCTGCTATACGGGCTCACCATAGCCTGTGCCACTTGGAACTTTGTTCCAAGTATCGAATCTTTAACAACAACAACAACAAGGGCTGCTATGGCAAATAGGGGTGAATGCTATTTTTTCTTAAATTATTATTTGTATTGCCTTTTTTCAATGGGCTAATCCCCGCCCTCCCCCCCCAACCAATGAAAGTAGAAAATGGTGTAATGGTGGTGTGACTATTTTCAGATTCTGTATTCACTGGGGATATTAGTGACATACTGATGAAGGTTACTGGCGTCCTGCAAACTAAACCCCAGTCAAAGGGTCGGACCAGTCTAGCCCTTCGCTCAGAGCAATACTCAGTCATCAAGATTCCTCCTAAGGATCCAGACATGCCGATTTTTGATATTGTCGTTATATGTGACCCGGTATCTACTGCTGCCCAAAAAATTGGACCAGTTCTTCTGGTGCTTCAAGAAGTAGTTAATGCCAACATTCGTGTTGTACTCAATGCCCGAGAAAAGCACTCCGAGATGCCGTTGTCAAGGTTAGTTATTGTAGGCTAGTGCAGTGTAAGGTTCAATAAATGATCATTTAACATAGTAGATAGCAGTGATTTTCATAGGATATATGCATATATCATAGGCATATATCATTTGTGCATATATTCATCTGTGCATTGAATGAGAAAAGTTGACCAACTTGTATGTATTTTGTGAAAGGTATAAAAGTATTTTGCATTAAAATAAACTTTTATTAAAAAAAATACAGAATGGATTGCAGTATATACAGTATATTTTTAATTAACTTGAATAAGAACGGTTAGACCTGTATTTATTGGACATTACTCTTGTTTTAACGAATGCCTGGCTTGGGCTTCCTTGTTAATCACTACATACTGTATTCTCTTCCTGAGATAGCGGTGAGCTGGCTGGGATATATGTCTTCTCCATTATCCTCATACGTTACTTTTTTCTAATAGAAATGTATAGAAATACAAGATTAAGACGTTTTATTCCTTCTACAGTTTCTACCGTTATGTGCTGGAGCCGGAACCACAGTTTTTGGACACCGGGGAATTATCGCCAGGACCTCATGCTAGATTCATTGGCCTCCCCGAATCCCCCATTCTTACTCTGAATTACCATGCTCCGGAGAACTGGTTGGTGGAGGTGATCCATTCCATATATGATCTGGATAATATCAAGTTAGAGTCTGTTGAGGCTGGTGTACACAGGTAAAGTCGGATTTGGAAATTCGTTGGAGATGTGCTACGGTATATCGTACTTTTTTGAAGACATGCTATATGTGCTGTTATATTCTTGGCATTAATTTTATGCTCTTTCTTTTTTTGGTGTACAGGAATACAGGTTACATAGGCCTAATAAATTTTTAAGAATTGTGGAACGAACTTAACAACAAAATAATTTTTTTACTTGGTTACACTATTCTGTACAGTATTTTGAACGAGTGCCTTCCTTCAAGCTATTATGACATAAACAGATGTTATCAAGTAGGATGGTAAAAGGTTAGATGCATTTCAGGGGGCAGTCAATACCAGTAAGTAGTAGGTATTATGGAGTCGTTGGCAGTGTTCGTCATAGTAGTGAACTGTCGTTTAAGGGGGAGTGGAATGTATTTTGATGAACAGTTAGTTTAGATATTCTTAGTCTTGAGAAATGGGCATTACGTTTGATTTTGAATTATGGATGATACTTGTCAAATAAATTTTTTTTTACCTAATCTATTTTTTAGATTTCTTCTCTGAGAATAAAGAATTTATTGTGTATCCTTGTATTTAGTGAATTTGAGCTGGAACATCTACTAGTGGAAGGCCACTGTTTTGAGCAGTCTTCTGGGAATCCACCACGTGGCTTGCAGTTCACTCTTGGCAACATTCAGCAGCCTGTAATGGTAGTGTATATAGAATCACTCAGCTTTGGAAAGAATGGAGAAAGTTATGTTTTAATATTTGAAGAAATATTTGATTAGGGGATCTTTTTGCTACATTGCAACAAGATAAATATTAAGTTATATATAATTAACCTTAATTTGTATAAAATTTTAGAGACTTTAGAAGTACTGTATGTCTAGGATTATTTGAAGAATGTAGAATTTTATTATTTTAGATTCATATTACTTTTATTATTGCCAATTGATATTTTGTTAGAATGGACTTTTTATTGCCAATGGACTTTTTTGAATATTTGAAGGTGTTACACTTATTGTTTGTGTTAATGCTAATGTGGTAACTGGTTTGAAAGGCTTATTAGAATACTTGAAAGAGTGACCTCTTTCCTTGTTACAGGTTGACACGATTGTGATGGCCAACTTGGGCTACTTCCAATTGAAGGCCAATCCTGGAGCCTGGCTACTTAAGTTGAGGCAGGGACGATCCTCAGAAATTTATTCTATTGCTAGGTAAAAAAAATTTGCTTTCTTAGTGCCTTTATTGAGTCAACAATTGGAAAATAATATTAATTGCACCTTCTCGACTGTATAAAAAAAATCACTTAAAAAGTTAATACATTTATTTATGGGCCTGTGAGTTGTAAGTATTAACCAACAAAAATGCAAGAAGTTTAAGCAAGGAAGCTCCTACTTTTTACCCAACCATTCATATATGTCAAACATTTGCTTGAAGCAATCCACCTATAATATGTCTATTATGTTACCCAGTAATTTGTTCTATATGTCAACACTTGTGTTTCCAAACTAATATTTACCAGGTCTTTACTGAATTTAGACGTGCAATTTGTATCTAATGTCTATAATAGAATTATATTTTTCTTCTTGGACTTACATACTTAGGAACCCTTTGATGCATGTACAGTACAGTACTTTGCATTTTTGTTTTTATGTCTGTAATTGAAGGGTCCTTTTCATCTTGTCCTAGCCACGAAGGGACAGACACTCCCGCTGGCTCTGAGGATGTGCAGATCATCATGAGTAGCTTCAAGTCTCACGTAGTGAAGGTACGTGTGGCTAAGAAGCCTGGCAAGCAGAATATGCAACTCTTGTCTGATGATAATGAAGAGAGTGGCGGCCTCTGGAATTCTATCACGAGGTGTGTACTGGTGTTTTAAACCGTAGTCTTGTAGATTTTGAGAATGTGTTTATTTTTGCAAGGGTTTTATGCATAGTATTTTTATTTGATTTTGCTAGTTTTTAACTATTCTCTATTTGTTTTCAAGGTGGTAATTGGGCTTGTGTAGTGTGTAAACATTTTGAATGCTTTTTATTATCACCTATTCTTGATTGATGTTTTAGCTGATGGCTCTACCACTTTGGCTTGAAATTACATAGTTGAATAACAACCAGAATTAAGCCCATCCATCTCTGTATTTTGACGTGATTGACCAGCGTTTCTCAATCTTTGCACCCTAGAAATAATTTTGTGTCGTACTTTAGATAAACACACACACACACACACACACTCAGGTTTCATTGTCAACTGAAAGGAAATGATATGTCTGCTCTTGATACTGGTTAGATGAGAAAAATTAAACACAAAAATTACTTTAGAAATTTATCACTATCTCTTGTGGAACCCTTAGTTACCTTGGAGTTCTTCAGAACCCCAGGTGAGAAATAGTGATAGACAGTATAAGAATAGAATAGAATAAGATGAATACCATACTTCAATATTTTGAAAGGGAGGATGCAATGCTTAACTCGGCTCAATACTTTAGCCTTACTGTATGTAGTGTCAATGCAAAAGTTTCTCTGTCTATTTAGAATAATGAACAATATGTAGGTTAGACATTTTTATTCAAGTTGTTCTTAAAAGTTCTCGTTATTGCTCTGAAATTAACCAATTTTGACTCATTTTTTTCCGCACACTCTGCGTTACCTAGTTAGGGTAATGTACTCACCTAATTGTGCTTGTGGGGGGTTGAGCTCTGGCTCTTTGATGTGGAGCATCACTTTAAATAAATCATTGTTCAGACTTCATTATTAGATTGTGGTATATAGTATCACACTTGATTAGCTAATTATTGCTAACTCCAAAATTTAAAAGATGCACTGTATATACCTTCCCTTCCTCTTGTGCAAATATAAAAATAAATTAGAATTTGCTTAACCTAAATTTGAAGAAGGCATGGTGTTGCTTATGAGCCTTGGTATGAGATGTTGCATGAGACAAAATATGCAATGCTTTCTCTTTCATTTTTTTACTTAATGAAGATAGCATGCAGTTAATGAAAAGCTTGTACGTATCTTACGCACTCACAAACCAATCATAATTTCAGCAACGAAGACATAAGTGTCCTCCAAAATGATGTATATAAGTAAGTTGAGCTTAAACTGCCGAAAAATGCTGTAACTGCTTCATTTGCTGCCTGCAACACTAAAAGCATTTTCACGATTAATATTGCCGAGTGTAATGTGACACTCGGGTTTTGAATCGTGTCGGTGGAATCTGTTGTTTACATATTGTACCTCTTATTTAAACTTAGATATTCAACTTGCTACTTGAGTGTATTTATGTATAGTATATACTGTATAATTATATGCAGAATAACCACATGTGAAAAATAGAGAATGCTTAATGCGTTTTCGGCCTTCATCAGAGCCAAGTAGAATGAAGATGATATCAAAGTAGAATGATTTCTTCATTCTACTTTGCTCTGATGAAGGCGAATTAGCTGAAAACGCGTTAAGCATTCTCTATTTTTCACATGTGGTTATTCTGCATACTTAGATCAGTGTTTTTGTGATCATTGTTGCATATAATTATATATTAAATAGTTTTCCAGGCCTGGTGCCTTCTTTTGATAATTATGGACTTGAGTATATAATTACATCAATCTAGTTGCACTTTTGATAGGAAGGAAAGGAGAAGTACTTGCATGACTGCACTAACTTTGTGAATGCTGTGTATATTTGAATACAGTACTGGACTAATTCTTATGTACGGGAAATGAGCATTTTGCAATTATACCTGTGATAGTTGTAACTGCAGGAGGTGTGAGTTTATTGTAGATAATTACAGATACCTTACATTCATCTTTTGTTTCTTTTTTTGTAGCCAACAGTAAATATTCATGGGTTGGAAACATTAGCATAATTTATATATACTATATTTTTTGTTTTACAAGCATGCCTGTTGTGGGGCCCATAATTGACGAGTGGCGTGTGCTGTTTAAGGCGTGTTATTCCCTAGCTAATTCTCATTGGCTCAGGTATATAATTTTTTGTGCATGAGTAGAAATTTGCTTGTGTGCCTGGAGTCACTTTGGCAACAATTCTCAGTATGTTTTGCTTCTAGTGAATGCAATTTGTGGCTTGTAATAAATATATATATACGTGTTTTATTTTAGAAAATGTTTAGTGCAGGATAAGATACGTATCAGTAACAGGATAGTAGGGAAATGATAAGAAGAATTCCTGTGTAACAGTGGTTGGGATAGAGGTGACTAGTAAGTAAAGGTGCTTCATTTCACTACTTCTGGAGTGCATTGTGTGAATCTTTATTTTGGTACCAAGGGACTCGTGGTTGCTATTTGTCCTAAGGCTGTCGAGACCTCAGACTATTTAAACTTCAGTTGGTAGTTTATCACTATTTTTTCTTTAGAAAAAATACTTGCTTATTACAGTGGTAATGGGCCATAATGCCATATTAGTACAAGAGATCACTGTGCCAACATAAAAAAACATAGTGATAGAATTACAGAATTTGTTTACAAAGTGTATGGCAGGATAGTAATTGGAATAGGAGCAGCTCTGAGGTGACTTGAACCCATGACTGATGGCTTTCACCAAGTCAGGGAGAGCCACTGGTTAGCGGCTGCGGCTGGTACTCTCTCGGTCGCGGGTTCGAGTCGCCTCAGAGCTCCAGTGGATTTTCTCATGATACAGTATATATATCACATTAGTGTACACAGCCTGATAGTGAGTTAGATTTCACACTGCTCCACAGATTTTCTCTTGGCTGTATTACGTTACTGTGACTTCATTGTGCAGTGTTCTATATACTATATTAATGTTCACTGGACTGCTTCAGCACCTTCAGTTCTAGTGGTGTGGCCGAGGACAAGGATGAAACTGTGAATATCTTCTCTGTGGCGTCGGGACACTTGTATGAGCGGTTCCTGCGTATCATGATGCTCTCAGTTCTTCGCCACACTAAAATGCCAGTCAAGTTTTGGTTCATAAAAAATTTCCTCTCTCCGAGTTTTAAGGTAAACACAATGTACTATTACAGTATTTATATTTGGGACGTGTTGTTGAAAAATTAGATGGTGGCACTTAGGAAAAGCCTTCGTATTCAAATTATGTTAATGCATGCAAATATTGCTGACTTAATTTTTCTGTGTAAATTAATTGGTCAGGTTCAGTGTTATGTTGTCATGTTATACTTTGTCAGTGTATGTTTTGGCTTGCCTTTTGAAGAATTTTTATTATATTTTCTTTGCATTGATTGTGTAGGATGTGCTACCATTACTGGCCAAAGAATATGGGTTCCAGTATGAGCTGGTCCAGTACAAGTGGCCAAGATGGCTGCACCAGCAGACTGAGAAGCAGCGCATTATCTGGGGTTACAAGATCCTCTTTCTTGACGTTCTCTTCCCACTGGATATTAAGAAGATCATCTTCGTTGATGCTGATCAGGTGTGTACAGTATTCGTATATTTGTTAATAGTGGTTTTTCCACTGAAGTGTGTACTAATATTTTATTATATTTTCTTCAAAATCTTGAGATAAAATTATGCATTTGTACATATACATAGGATGTAGCACAGTGGTCTTTGTCCTTGGCTCTCACCTGAGAGACCTGGATTCAATCCCAGGGCAGGACAGACACAGTTAGACATGTTTCCTTTCACCTGATGCGCTTTGTTCACCTAGCAGTAAAATAGATACCCCCTGGAGTTAGGGATTATTGTGGGTTGCATCCTGGAAAAGGTCAGTAGTTGGCCTAGGCAAACTTGGATAATTATAAGTAGAGGGTTTTCCTGTCCTTGACAACAGAAATTATATTCATATTGCCATGTTCATATAAACGTAGAGTCGGAGCTTTGGTTAACAGTAATGTATTTTTTTAACAAACTGACAAGAATTGACAATCTTGCAATTCCAGAAGATGGAATATTTTGAAAGAAAAACTTATTATTTGCATTTAAGGCTTAGAGAATCATATTGCATTTATTTGCAAGCCACAACATTTTAAAACTTACATTTTTGACATCTTTTGGACTGAATTTTTTCAATTGGTTTATGAAGGATGGATTGAATTAGGTTTTGTGTTTTATTTTAGTTAAAAAAAATAAAGCATTGGTAACCATGGATGAATTGACTGAATAGACTTGAAGCAACTTTGACCACTATTCGAAGTGCTAGGAAGTTGTTAAATAGTTTTAAGTACAATAGTTTTCATCAAATAGTTAAATAGTTTTCACAATGTACTTATGTGAAAGCTTGTACTATATTTGAAAAGTACAAGTATTAGAAAAGTACTTCGGTACAAGTTCAATATAAGTACAAATATTTGTACTTGTGCGTATATTAAAAGCTGGTACCAAACAAGCATGATCTGAAATATGTGGGTGTATGACAGGGCTGGGTAATATATTGATTTTAGTGCATCTGTAGATAATATTCACATGTTCTGGACTCTGTCACCTGTGGATCATCTTCCTCTCCACCTTTTTATCCAGGATGCATCATCTTACCCTCATTAAATGTATTTGCAAGTTGCAACTGTTCATCACACAAAATATTGAGCATAGTGCTCACACTTGACGTAAGTGTTACCGAGTTCAGATTGTAAATTGCTCTGCAGTCTAGTGTTCATAATAAACAAGTGACAAAAGTTGTTTTTTTCAGGTTGTACGAGCTGATATCAATGACCTAAGTGACGAAGATCTGGATGGAGCTCCATATGGCTTTGTACCTTTTTGCGATTCACGCGCTGAGATTGATGGATTTAGGTTAGACTGTCCTCTGGTTTATTTGTAATGCCACAGTAGTGTGAAATGAAAGTGACGATGTTTGGGTCTGTCCTGGACCATTATTAACTTGTCATTTTCATTTCCTTTCAAGTGTTTAGATTTGGTCATTCTCTTTTTTGTATCTCATAGTTAATGTAGAAGAGATAGTGATTGTGCTGTGCCTTTTTATGAGTACAGTGCTGTATAGTACTATCTATATATATATAGCCTTCTTTCCCAATACTGTATTACTCTCCAATTTATTCTTGCTGGATCCCTCCCCATTCCATGAAAGTGGGAATAATGATATATGGGTGAAAAATATAAATTATTGGATGGTAATGGAATTCTTACTAATTGCAAAATGGTTATTATAGCTATGCATCAGTCAAAAAACTATGGAAATATTTATATCTATTTATTTGGTATTTATTGTGGGGCGTTTGAATTGAGATCTATTAGTAGCTGATGCAATAAGTGGCAGAATGTTAATAAAACAACATTTTTTATTGGCTACCCCTCACAGGTTTTGGAAGCAAGGTTATTGGCGCAACCACTTAGCGGGCAGGAAGTACCACATTTCTGCCCTCTTTGTGGTGGACCTGAAGAGGTTCCGTCGTATCGCTGCAGGTGACCGCCTTCGAGGCCAGTACCAGGGATTGTCGCAAGATCCTAATTCCCTCTCCAACTTGGATCAGGTGAGTGTGTTGTTTTTGGAGCACTTTCTGGCTGTTTCTGACAACCTTATTTAACCAACAGTTATCCTTCTGATAGACAGTGTTGTTGAGACCTTTTTTTTATTTAATCAGTTGTGGAGTTTTCTTGAAGCCTACCGTTGCAGTTGTTGTATAAAATAAATTATTATTTTGGGATTCTAAAACTTCATGTTTGTCACAGTATCCTTAGTTGCTGTCATAATTTTTTTTTTTAGTTTCTACCACAGATGTAGCTATACATATATATGTGTCTATACATATATCATAAAATTATTGCTGCATTCATAACTTACCTGGTCACTTGCTATTCATGCATTATGTTGTGGTTATTTCAGGATCTTCCAAACAACATGGTGCATCAAGTGCGTATAAAATCCCTCCCGCAAGACTGGCTCTGGTGTGAATCGTGGTGCGACGACGAGTCAAAGAAAACTGCCAAGATTATTGATTTGGTAAGCTATATATGCTCTGTCTTCTTTGGTTTTATATGTACAGTAGTTTGCTTGATATGTATGCTCTTTTGTGATACATTGCATGTGTGCTTAAGCAATTATCATTTTTTTTTATCAATGTATTCAGTGTCATTTGTTAGTTTTCTAATGATGGTTGTTTACGTCATGTAGCTTTCTATAAATTTTTGTGCAGGTTTTAAAAATGAAATATATTTGATTTTGTGAATGTTTATTGTTTTGCTACAGATTACTGTTGCATATAATCCAAAAGGCAATATTAGAGTCGGGGTGACCATCAAATGTTTCTATTTCCAGTGTAACAATCCCATGACAAAAGAAGCCAAATTGGATGCTGCTCAGAGAATTATACCAGAATGGACGACATATGATAATGAAATTAAGGCTGTGATGCAAGGATTTAAACAAAATAAGACGACACATTCAGAAGGTATGTAGTCCATCTCCTGACTTGTCGTTCGGTAATTATTTAGGTGCTGCTAAATAATTTTTCGTGCTGCTCTGATCTAATGATGATTTGTTTTCCCCTGTATGTAATATTTCTAAGATTTTCATGGTGCCTTCATGGTGATTTTTATGATAATTAATTTAAAGTTGTGTAACTTTGCGAGTGCATTAATGAATTTGTATTTTTGTTAATTTTGCAATTTAGCAAAGTGCCTTGCATCCCCCTGCTGCCAGCATAGCGTAGCACTGAAAATATTTACATAAGCTTTGGCTGTCCATCTTGTTCTAAGGCTGTTAAAGAAGTCAGTGTCAAGATTTATAATATCAAATTTGCTTTCAAAATAACTGGCTTATTTGTATTCTTTGTTTTTATTATGGTTTAAAATGACAGTACATTCGTATTCTAAATGCATTTATTAATATTATGCACAATAATATGGCTGAAAATGAATAACCCAACAAGGAAAGCAAGGAAAGGGGTGATGCTTAGGTCCATTCATGACACAATGTGACGAGGGTCCAAGATTGACTGAAACACCATCACTTTACTTTCTTCTCATGTGTGTGGGGTTGAGTTAATTATTAATATATTTTTATCCTCATTAACTTGACTTCTTAAGTACATTTATGATGAAGAATGTTTCTCTACTTCTTGATCTTGAATCTGATTGATTTTTTGTTTTGGTTTTCAGAGGCATCTAGTCACCAAGAGCACTCCGAACTATGATACTTGAGATTGGGTATGTTTGGTGAGGTTTTGTAAGTAATGTGTATAGATGTGTCTTTGTTAAGTATTTATAAGTGTCTTGTGTTCTCATTTAGATCTTTGATTGACTAATTTATCTCTTGGTACATGTATTTGTTTTGCATTGTGTGTACAAGATCATTTTAAATGTAGACATTAATGGTTCAAAGTTTTATGTATGTGAAGGAATAAATTTTTTTCTGTATACATTCCGATTTGTTATATATGCATCAGTAAGTATGCACATTGGACAGTTGAATATAATTATGGCATTTGAAAGATTTTTTTAATATGCGGTATGAAATAAACACAATAAACACTTTGCGATTATATTTTATTTTATTTAAAGAATTTGAGACCCTTATGTATCTTATAAGCTTTACATATACTGTACTGTGTTTACGTTCTCGTCATCATCTGTGATGAGTTTTTCCCAAATAAGTGGACTAGCAGAAGAAAGTTAAGTGTGGGGCAGAAGTGGAGAGAGATCATGACCTAATCAAGCCATATCTGGGCAATAAGACTCATTCTGGTGTCTTAACAAGGAGACTGCTGAAATATATTATGCTTTATGCTTATCAGTTGGATGGGAGACTCTTTTTGCACATAAACTGTAGACATCTTGACAGTAGACAGCCTGGTTGATCAGTCCAGCAACCAGGAGGCCTGGTCGATGACCGGGCCGCGGGGACGCTAAGCCCCGGAAGCACCTCAAGGTATCTTTTCTTGTTGGATTCAAGAACTACACTCATACTACAGTGAACATTTAGTTTAAATGTAGGTTGGCTGGTAAGACAAACAGAGGCAGGCTTCATTTGTTACAATTTGCACAAATCATTACAACTCTAGCTGGACTGAACAGGGGTACAGTAGTGTAATTTGAGGGGTAATAGATAATATTAAAAGATTGTGTATTATTAATAACAGTAGTAGTAATAGTAATGAAAGTACGGTATATAAATAAATGTATATACGGTATACGAGATTAAATGTATGTTTGTCTTTCTCTCTGTCCAAAGTTGGAAGCCAGATGCTTGTAGGCAAACCTCTCTCAAATTGGCAGAGGAAGTGGTCTGAGGTATGGGACGGACAGAGGCTAGTCAGAGTAGGCCTAGGTTAAATACTTTTAAGAAATGTTATAAATTATAGACACCCCCAGGTGATTTTCAAGGAGTCAAGTGTGAAATGATATGATAACTATGGAGTTTTTAGTGATCATAATAATATATTTTCCAAGACCCATATACTGTTGCTGTTTTAATGCTGCTTAATAAATTTAATGAGAGAAGAGGGAGAGGGGGTAACCAGGAGGGAGGGGGGGGTGGAGGACGAGGGCAAGAGACCATGGCGATGGAGACGAGGGAGTCGAAGGCAAAATGGGGCGAGGAGTGGAGAAAGAGACCCCCTGGTGCCACTAGGTACCCCGTCGTTACCTGGTAACCCGGGTAACCACCATAGCTAGTAACTACTTTTAACCTCCATTGTACTCAAAAGGAAATACAAAAATGAGATACAGTAATATTGTTGCTTTATTTATCGGAGATTTGTACATTATAATACATGACTAAGAGCTTGGAGTTTTGAGGGGGAACGGCCGGCACATGCTCACAATCCTCGCACGCATGCACTCAGTCTCATCCCTCCCCTTTTTGCGAAGTCAGTTACAGGTGTGGACATCGTACCACACAGCACAGGTCTGGCAGGTGACGTAACAGCACCAGTGGTACTTGCAGTGACAGCGCTGGTGGGTGCGGTGGGCATGAGAGGTGTAGCCACGCCCACAACACATCACCCCACACCCGTCCACGCCCACAGACGTTGCGTTGCATCGCCTGCGCCCACAATCAAACTCACTAATTAAGAAACCCAAATAATTCTCACAGGATATTTTAACAATTGTATGTTTTTAATTTTAAATACTGTACATGTTCACAATAGTTTCTGTATAAAATACAATATAGTGAAGTTACATGTGTGTAATGCTGTTAGTTAACACGTATAGATGCTTACAATGCCATCTGTTCCCTTGATTAGTAACTCTGTATAAAATGCAAATCAACAAACCTATCGAAGCCGATACACGTAGAAAACGTCAATATTTTGGAGATTTAATTTGAACTAATAACGTGACAATTTTTAACTGGTCGTTTCTGTTAAGAATGGGACGGATTAGGCGAGGTGACCCACATCTCTCAAGAATGGATGTAAAGTATTGGGTATGAAGATCAATTAACTTTACAGCACCTGTATGATTGCTATTTTGTTTTTTGTTTTAAGATTGATTGACAAGCCGAGAGAGAGAGGACGTTCGTTGAGCATCGTCACATGATCGCCTTAATTAATGGTGTGTTATTGCCACATGAATATTCATAAATAATAAAATATAGAACGTGAATATTCTGACATTTCTCTGTTTTCACTCACACTGAGAAAGGCGAATAATTGGGAGAAGATTAAAAACACTTAAGACTTTGAAAATATTTTGGCCATACAAGGTTGACTCGTTGTTAATTTGTAAGGTGAATGGTGTTATTGGCCTTGCTGGTTTAGCACCTTCTTGTGATAACCCTCTTAAGAAGTATTCTTGAGACGATGGTTATGACAGGGCCGGGATACAAGTATAAACTGATGAAGATTAAACAACCACGTGAGGTGGAAAGGGCACGAGTAGCTCATAGGAAGTATAAACGTTGTATGGTGTACTACACATGTAGCACAAGGATTAGCAACATGAGTGATAATAAGCATTCATGTGCACAGAAATAGATGTTATTGCTATCACAGAAACATAGATGAATGTTGAAGTCCGTGAACTATTGGCAGAGTGTCTAACCAAAGTGCATGACTTGTTTCACATTGATAGACAAATTAGACAAGGAGGAACAGTAATCTTTGTCAGAGAAAATGTAGAATGTCGAGTCAATCAGGGAATCAGAGGTGCATAAAGAAAATTGAAATGAAATATGTCAATATACATGTGGCAGTACTCTTTAGTACATTTAGTTTAATAACATGTGCAGATAGTTGGAATGTTCTTCAAATAATCCAGGAAATGCTGAATAGTTGTTGAAGAATTCTCTCTCAAACAGTATATTATAGCTCTCAATACCAGCCAGGCTTCTACACCACCATACACTACAACACCAGCCAGGCTTCTACACCACTATATACTACAACACCAGCCAGGCTTCTACACCACCATACACTACAACACCAGCCAGGCTTCTACACCACTATATACTACAACACCAGCCAGGCTTCTACACCACTATATACTACAACACCAGCCAGGCTTCTACACCACCATACACTACAACACCAGCCAGGCTTCTACACCACCATACACTACAACACCAGCCAGGCTTCTACACCACTATATACTACACCAGCCAGGGTTAATCGACAGTGGTGTTGACGTGAGCAATCATTGTTATTATCATTCCTTCCATTCTGGCGGAACTCAGACCTGCTGGGTGGTGCTGGTAGGGGGGAGGGAGGGAGGGGAGGAGCCCCCGGGGGCATTAAGCAACAGATTACATCAACAAATAACATAGTCTGAGCGTATGTAACGGAGCGTATGTGGCTAGCCAGGTCTAGAAACACAAAGCTCCCCACTAACACACTAACGGGCTATTCATGCCCGTGCCACCTCTTGGGTGGCTTAATCTTCATCAATCAATCAATCACTAACTCTCAGGGGTGCAGGAAGGGCCAAAAGAAGGTGCTAAGGCAGGAAAGTCTGCATGTAGTAACCTGTTGTTAGTTCCCGCAATCAATGTCCCCCGAGGTCCGGTCTCTAACCTGGGCCAGGATTCAACAAGCATCAACTTACAAACCATCTTTTCTCAATCTTTGATGGCCTTGTTTAGATTTATTAAATAGTTTACGAGCTGCGAAGCACCAGGAGGCTGTTTACAGCTATAATTACATCTAATTGGAAAGTTTCCATGCTCGTATTCCAACCAGTTGGGTAGGACGGTAGAGCGACGGTCTCGCTTCATGCAGGTTCAATCCCCGACCGTCCACAAGTGGTTGGGCACCATTCCTTCCCCCCGTCCCATCCCAAATCCTTATCCTAACCCCTTTCCAGTGCTATATAGTCGTAATGGCTTGGCGCTTCCCCCTGCTAGTTCCCTTCATCATTTATTATGCACCCCATACCCATGCCGTGGGCGGTGGTGGAACCGGTTACAGAGGCACAAAAAGGGGGGGAGGAGGGGGAGCTCAGGAACTAAAGCTCGTAGCTCATGTGCAGGCGATGAGTTACAATAACGTGGCTAAAGTATGTTGACCAGACCACACACTAGAAGGTGAAGGGACGACGACGACGTTTCGGTCCGTCCTGGACCATGCTCAAGTCGACAATCGACTTGAGAATGGTCCAGGACGGACCAAAACGTCGTCGTCGTCCCTTCACCTCGTAGCTCATTTAGTCAAGCCAGTAAACAGCCTCGCGAAGCTAGTTACGCCATTATTTTTTTTTTGTGTAACTGCCTTCACAAAGATTTGTTTCTGGCTTGAATTATCAGAGATTCGAACTCTGGTTTCAATTTTTTTTTGTAACCTTTGTTCGCATGCGCTTCTTGAAGGAGTGGAGTATATGTGGTGATAGGAAATATGATGATGTTTTCTTTTATAGACAATAATTGTGAATGTGTATAGTGCAAGGAAATGTAGAGTAGGTCCGTTCGTTTGGTAAGAGAGAGAGAGAGACAGAGACAGAGACAGACAGACAGACATATGACAATGTCAGACCACGGAGGAAGAATTGAAACAGGAATTTCCTTCAGTTCTTTCGTATATTAATACATCTTCAGAAGGAATGAAATGAGATTGATTTCATTCCTTCTGATGATGTATTAATATACGAAAGTACTTAAAGGAAATTCCTGTTTCAATTCTTCCTCCGTGGTCTGACATTGTCACATTTTTCATCACGTGTTAATTGTCGTGATTTACACACACAGACATATGTATATGTGTGTGTGTGTGTGTATACAGGATACGTGGAAGTTAGTCAGAATTGCATTTCTCCTTTGTAAACGCACATTAATGACACCATGTAAAAAAGACTCTTCGAACACTGTTTACGTAGAACAGACGTAAATCTGTATACAGTATTTATGTCTGTAGATTAGATTAGCATTTTAAAAGCACTACAATCACCTTCTGTGGTTGATTATTTAATAAATCCCTGAACTATATGTTTAACAAATCTCTCACCCTGTCCATGGAGGACACAAGAAAATATATATATATATATATATATATGCTGGTTGGCACTGTAAATGTGTGGCCACGTCTGTGGTAGAAAAATAATAATTAAAGGAAAAAAAAAAGACATAGCGAGTGGGGAAGGAAAGAGGTAAGAGAAAGGGAAGGGAGGAAGCGACAAGACTTCCAGGAATGTTTTGAGTCATTTTTTTTTTTTTTTTTAGTCATTTCCATAACTACAGGAATAGCGCCAATTAACAAATACCAAGGAGGATTTTGTCCATAATTACTGAATAAATCCTAATTTTTACGCTCATCCAGGTGAAATTATGAACGATTATTTAATATTATTTTTTTGAGCTTGATACAAATTATTTTGGCGAAATAGCATATACGTCACGCTAAAGCTTTTTAGAACATTTTTTTTTTGCAAATTTAATATCAGACTATCACGCAGCTACACGTGGCAATAATCAATACATTACGCACTACACAACAGGTAGAAGAACCAACCATTACACCGGAAATGTGGTGTGAATCCATGCATATATAAATCCACAAGGGCCTTGATATGGGTTCGAACCTAGGCACGGGCTGTTCCCAGATGCGCCTTAGTCAACTGTGGATTCATTTGATATATCACGCTATTGTGATATCTGAGTGCATGCATTAGGGAAGGATCACAGCCCCTTGGACTCGGCACGGCTCTTGTGCCAGGTAAGACAACTACGGGCTCACCATAGCCCGTGCTACTTGCCCCACTTCTGTGCCACGGAAGTTACGGGCTCGCCATAGCCCGTGCTACTTGGAACTTGTTCCGAGTAGCTGAATCTATAACAACAACCACTTGGACTGTTCGGTACTACGGTGACCACTGCTTCTTCCAGGTCGCGGGGTTCGATACCCGATGGAGCCAAGTGGATGGACATCGGTGCTTCACTCCGTCCTCATATCTCAGCCCCTTGGGGCTTCCTCACAATATTCTCTCCTATGAGGGGAAACTGCGAGAATGGGAGCAGAGAGGCGGCTTAGGGAGTGTGAGACCGAACTTGGACTTCCTGATGAAGCAGCCAAGATCACAAGCTGGTTATCTAGTGCTCACACATGTTCACGACCTCTCTGATGAAGCAGCCAAGATCACAAGCTGGTTGTCTAGTGCTCACACATGTTCACGACCTCCCTGATGAAGCAGCCAAGATCACAAGCTGGTTGTCTAGTGCTCACACATGTTCACGACCTCCCTGAACACATGTTCACGACCTCCCTGATGAAGCAGCCAAGATCACAAGCTGGTTGTCTAGTGCTCACACATGTTCACGACCTCCCTGATGAAGCAGCCAAGATCACAAGTTGGTTGTCTAGTGCTCACACATGTTCACGACCTCTCTGATGAAGCAGCCAAGATCACAAGTTGGTTGTCTAGTGCTCACACATGTTCACGACCTCCCTGATGAAGCAGCCAAGATCACAAGTTGGTTGTCTAGTGCTCACACATGTTCCCGACCTCCCTGGAAAGGACATCTATCCTCCTTTGGAACGATGAATGTAAACTGCAATCCATAATAGCGTGGATAACACAATTTGATCCACTTGGATCATCGGACGTGTAAATCGCGCCTTAAAAGTAGCAACAGTAACAGGAACAGTAGCAGTAGGTATCTATCTGTACTCTCAACTAATAACTCGCGTTACAAATTTGATTGATAAAGATTAAGCAAATTAAGATTGGCACGGGCATGAATAGCCCATAAGGGCTCACAAAATATCTTTCGTTTTCTATGTATCGGACACGATAGGTTAGACGCGACGCTTTCCGGTTAGATTATATTTTTTGACGGAGTATCAAATGAGGACAAGGTGGGCGGCAGCACCTACCTTCCGCCAGTACCGAGGGAGCCGACGCGAGGCTCCGGATGGCAGTAATCCGGCGACTTGGTGACGTAGATGAGGTCGTCTCTGGAGAAGCGGGCCACGGCGGTACTCGCCGGCAGAAGGCGCAGACGAGGACCCGCCGACACCTCACGAACCTCCACGCCGGATAGGTACCCTCGGTACAGTCTCTCCGCAGCCTGCACAGGACACACACACATTACGGGTAGGTCATGCAGGACCAGCAGGGGCTGGATTCACGAAAGCACTTACGCAAGTACTTACGAACCTGTGCATCTTTTCTCAATCTTTGGCGGCTTTGTTTACAATTATTAAACAGTTAATGAGCTTCGAAGCATCAGGAGGCTGTTTAAAACAATAACAACAGTTGATTGGCAAGTTTTCATGTTTGTAAACTGTTTAATAAATGTAACCAAAGCCGTCAAAGATTGAGGAAAGATGTACACGTTCGTAAGTTCATACGCAACTGCTTCGTGAATCTGGCCCCTGGAGTCATGAACCAGTTACGCAAGTACTTACGAACGTGTAGCGGTTTGGTGCCTTCTATTGATAATTACTTACTTACGAACGTGTACATCTTTCCTCAATCTTTGACGGCTTTGGTTACATTTATTAAACAGTTTACAAGCATGAAAACTTGCCAATCAACTGTTGTTATTGTTATAAACAGCCTCCTGGTGCTTCGGAGCTCATTAACTGTTTAATAATTGTAAACAAAGCCGCCAAAAGATTGAGAAAAGATGGACAGGTTCGTAAGTGCTTGGGGTAACTGCTTCGTGAAGCTGGCCGGTAGTGTAGGTCGTGGGGGGGAGGGGGGGGTAGTAGGCTGTAATAATAGGCGCATGTGTGTGCCTATTTACACACAAAAACATACTTGTACACCAATCGATTGCAGGAGCGTAGCTCTTATCCTGAGGTAATTACACATTCACTCACACAACTGAACGTTCAATCATTGCAGGATAGAAGACCCAGAGGAGATGTGATCACGACATACAAAATAACAAGGCGGCAAATACAAAGTGGACAAAGATCAATACAAATCATGAAGTCAGCAACAACATGGAGCGGTCGTATGGCTTATCAGGTGGTTAAGTCAGCAAAAAGGCGACACCCACAAACTAGACGACTATCCTCTCAAACTATCACCACCGTCCTCACTACCGCCATTGAAAACATCACCAGTCATCAGCATAGTCTCTGTCTTTCAGTCTTTCAGTCTCTCTGTATCTCTGTATCTCTGTCTCTCTCTTTATCTCTGTCTCTCTCTCTGTCTCTCTCTCTGTCTCTCTCTCTGTCTCTCTGTCTCTCTCTCTCTCTGTCTCTCTTTGTCTGTGTCTCTCTGTGTGTCTCTCTCTCTGCCTCTCTCTCTGTCTGTCTGTCTCTCTCTCTCTCTCTCTCTCTCTCTCTCTCTCTCTCTCTCTCTCTCTCTCTCTCTCTCTCTCTCTCTCTCTCTCTCTCTCTCTCTCTCTCTCTCTCTCTCTCTCTCTCTCTCTCTCTCTCTCACCTCAATAAAGTTGGGCAAGGCCTTCCAGCAGGTCTTGACGCTGCAGGAGCCCGACACACCATGACACTTGCACTGTGTGGAGAGCGACGCCTTGACTACCTGAGGAAGAGACACAGGTTGTACTCTCTACTGCTGCTGCTGCTGCTACCTGGCAAGAGAAAGAGACAAGTACTTTCCCTCTCTTAGAGAAAGGAACAGAGAGAGAGAGAGGTGTATGTATATCTAGTGAAGGAAGGGCACCTATGCAAAGCCGGAGAGGCACAGAGAGAGGGAGACACAGAAGCAAAGACAGATTGAAACACTTCTTCTACCTGAAGGGACGTTGTTAGTGCTTATGGTAGTAGATGGATGGCTTATGGAAGATGGCTTGGTTCGTCCCTCCACTGGTCGAGGGAGACACACACACACACACCTATGGATGTGTGTGTGGGACACACACGCCCCCTATGGACACATAGGGGGCGCCATTACAAGGATTTGTTGTTGTTGTTAAAGATTCGCTACCTGGAACTAAAAGATCCAAGTAGCACGGGCTATGGTGAGCCCGTAGTGGAGTTCTTTACAAGGATTATAACGCTGAAACTGTCTCCTTTATGCACGGTATAGATGTCACTGAATATTATTATTATATTGCATTCATTTACCGTCACATTTGGCTTTTTGTTGTGTCGACCTCGACATGACCAAACTCGATGGTAATAGTGGCAAAGTATCATTAATGTCGTGATCAATACAACGTGTTAGTAGTCATTAATATTATTTCATTGCCTTTGTTCTTGAGTTTTAATTGTAATTATTGTGTTGAGTTAGACCCTAAACTGTCCCGTGTATTGTGTATAATGTGTATGTCAACTATAAACTTATATATAATAATATAATAATTAAGTAAGGCAAAACAAAGTTCTGCCTGTCATCAGTATGATAAAAAAAAAACATTGTGGCATTTAAACCAAGAACCGAAGCCGGATTTCTAAGTAAGACATTTGAGGTGAGAGACTTAAGTTGATAACCCCAGACTTGAGACTGTAGGTAAGCGAGACTTAAGACTTGGGGGGTAGGGGTAGGTAGGGTCGTGGGGGGGTGGGGGGAGGAGGGCAGTGTGGTGATTTGGCCCAAGAATGATGTTAATAGCACACCTCTTGGGCCAGAGGGGGTGACTCGTACACAAGGCTGGCAGCGTGTGTTTACCGGCTGAGACAGACAGAAAGACAGAGACAGAGACAGACAGAAAGACAGAGAGAGAGAGAGAGAGAGAGAGAGAGAGACAGATAGAAAGACAGAGAGAGAGAGAGAAAGACAGAGAGAGAGACAGAGACAGATAGAAAGACAGAGACAGACAGACAGAGAGTAAGAGATCGAGCCAACTTGTAACCATCTTCCAATCCTACAGGCTGTTACCGAGTCAGACCTCAGCCCTCCTGCGGCTGTCCTACAAGAGTGAGGGGACTCCCAGTGCTCCTCTGCCCTCCTGCCTTCCCCACCTCCGCCAACAATCCCACCACGGACTATCGGGCCAAGACAATCAAGGGTAAATCACGCAAAGGTCTCATCTGTCTCAAGGTGGACGTTGAAATTGACATGAATGCCTAGTTTATGGCACGACTACTTGAGCAAGTTCCTTGTGAAGGTAAGAGCGTGGTTTGGTAGGGGGGGGGCAGATGGTGGTAGGGGGGGCAGGTGGTGGTAGGGGGGGGGCAGATGCTGGAGAAAATTCACAGATGTGCCACCAGAACAGTCCCAGAGCTGAGAGGCATCATTTACCAGCTAAGAACAAAGTATAACCTCTCGACACTGGAAGGTATGAGAAAGAGACACATGTTCACTACATACACAATACTCTGTGTAATTAATATAGTAGACAAAAATTGTTTTAAATTGGGTAGAATACGAGTTTGGAAATACATGTAGACGTAACAACTCTAATAGCTGAGTAAATAAATAAAAAAAAACTAGGAATTGAAATAGTAGAAAGTAGACTACAGTAAACTGAAGATATGGCACAAACCAAAGCGGTTAGAAACCTGTACATCTTTTCTTTACATTTATTAAACAATTTACGAGGTTGGTAACTTCACAACCCAAGGTTATTATTATTTTATAAACAACCTTACAGTGCTTCGTAGCTCATAAACTTTAACACATGTCAACAGAGCCGCAATGGTTGAAGAAAGATGTATATGTTTCGTAAGTAGTTACGTAAATTTTTTTTTGAGATATATACAAGAGTTGTTACATTCTTGTACAGCCACTAGTACGCGTAGCGTTTCGGGCAGGTCCCTGGAATACGATCCCCTGCCGCGAGGAATCGTTTTTTCATCCAAGTACACATTTTACTGTTGCGTTAAACAGAGGCTACAGTTAAGGAATTGCGCCCAGTAAATCCTCCCCGGCCAGGATACGAACCCATGACATAGCGCTCGCGGAACGCCAGGCGAGTGTCTTACCACTACACCACGGAGACTGCTAATCTACTTGATGAAGCCGGGGCCCATTATCTTGAAGGTTGCGAGTTGGAACCCAAGAGTTGAAACTGAACCCTCCTCAAGCACAGCTGTGTGGGTAGATTGGTTGGGGCTGCAGACAAACCACATACAGGGTAGACAAGAACAGTCTACCACAACCAGGACACAAGACCAATCTACCACAACCAGGACACAAGACCAATCTACCACAACCAGGACACAAGACCAATCTACCACAACCCAGGACACAAGAACAGTCCACTACAACCAGATGAGATGCACAGCAAAAAATAAGAGAGAGAGAGAGAGAGAGAGAGACTGGCGAGAGAGGAGAGAATATCCCTCATCTTATGTCTTTCTATTGAGATGTGTGTGAAGGCTTGGCGCCCGTTTTCACTTCCAGTCTCGGGTGCGTTTGGCGGGAAACCCGTGTAATAACCGTTTTTGGCTGCTCTAAGCTGACTCCATCGGCCTTGTGAACTCATTTAAAAACATGTGATATTTTCTAATGATTAAAATCGTATATATACCATTAAGTTAGGCTGAGTTAGGTGTAGACAAGTTGTGCTAGATTAAGTTTAGGATTAAACAGTCAGCGAACCGTTTTGAATAAGAAGTTTCCCGTATCCTTTTTTTTTTTTTTTTTTTTTTTTTTTTTTTTTTTTTTTTTTTTTTGAGATATATACAAGAGTTGTTACATTCTTGTACAGCCACTAGTACGCGTAGCGTTTCGGGCAAGTCCTTAATCCTATGGTCCCTGGAATACGATCCCCTGCCGCGAAGAATCGTTTTTTCATCCAAGTACACATTTTACTGTCTATTCTAGCTATTCTAGCTATAATCCTAGCTATTAGTTCTGGCTTCCATCTCTCTTAGTGGGACGCGGGTACTCTTGGCCCTCTCTACCCAGTCCGTCCTCCTAAGGTTTCCCAACGTCAGGAAATTGTCGTACTAAAGTGTCCTCTTCTAACCTACCAGAGGACCCAAAACAGAACACGGGACAGTACGTCACTTTCGCCAGCCGCTTCCATTTTCTAGTACGACGATTTTTGGCCTTAGGTAACGCATGCGGCCGAAATGTGACGTTCTTTGTAAGAGGACAGATTGCTCCACCTTCCCACTCTCACCAGTGGTCGAGAGGCGCCACAAAAGGCGAACCAGGATGCAGGTATCGTGTGAACCACCACACTGTCAGGCCAGCGGCGGTAAATTGGCCTGACCTTACTGGGAAAAACACATGTACGAGGTGGGCTGACCGCCTTCCATGCTGACCCGCCTTCCTCGCCCCTTTCCCCGACTCTCCCATCTGTACTCTTCTTTACCCCTTTTCAAAACAGTCTTCCAGGCTTGGTTTGAGCATTGAACAAATCCACAAGGGCCGTGACGAGGATTCGAACTTGCGTCCGAGAGCTTGGTTTGATCATTGTCTATTTTATCTTCTTGTTATCCTTCTCATTCGCCTCATCGTGTTCGTCCTTCTCTCTCTCTCTTCTTCTCTGCCTCGGCTTCTTCCTCCTGCACCTGCTCTTCGCCTCATCGTGTTCGTCCTTCTCTCTCTCTCTTCTTCTCTGCCTCGGCTTCTTCCTCCTGCACCTGCTCTCCACTGAGCAAGACATAAATCTTCCTCGTTTATAACAAGACTCAACTAAAATGATCTTCGATTACCGGGAATCATGCAGCTAATGGGCATTGTGGGAGACTGGTCAGGCCTGGAGGACAACATGACGGGGGGCAGGCCAGGGGGGGCAGTGGGGGCATGGGGGCATGCAGGGGCTGGTGGCTTATTGGCGGGAAGGCAGGGGGATGGGGGAGGGACACGGCTGGTGGAGGTATTGGGACAGGTAGGGCTAGCGGGATAGGGAGGGGGATGGTAATTACCTATCAGTGCCTGCCTATCAGTGTCTATGGGAGAGTGAAGTCTAGTTCATTATGCCCTGTCTAAAGAGCTTGTACTTGTAGCCTCGTATCTGTTGCGTTTCAATGTAACTATTCTGACTTTCAAATTCTTTGTCGAATCAGTTTAAAGTTTTGGATGGAGGTGGCTTCCGCAACTTCCTGTTGTACAGCATTCCATTTGTTAACTCCCCGTACAGGGTACAAGTACTTTCTTATGTCACTTCGGCTCATTTCTGCTACCAGCCTCCACCAGTGTCCTCTTGTCCTGCTTGCTCTCACTCTGAAGAGACTAGCCTTGTCCACCTTATTATCTATTCCCCTCAGTATCTTGTAAGTTGTGATCATATCCCCTCAGTTCCTTCTATCCTCGAGGGTTGTGAGACCTTGTTCCATTAGCCTATGTCTGTAGCTTAACCCTCTTAGCTCTGGCACCAGTCGTAAAACTTTGTACTTTTTTAAAAATTTTTATGCTTTAAATTTATGTTTTATGCTTCACAAGGTGCGGATTCCATGCCGGCGCTGCATATTCCAGTATTGGTCTAACCTGTGTTGTGAAGAATGCCTTGAAGGAGTCCTGATTCAGGTTCCTAAACGATGTTCCTATATTTGCCAGCGTCTCATATGCCGCCGATGTTATCATGTTTATGTGTGCCTCCGGTGGGAGTGTTAGTTACATCCACTCCCAGATCCTTCTCTCTTTCTGAGTCCTGCAGCTGCCTTCCCCGCGTGGTGTAGCTCCCTTCTGGTCTCCTCTCTCCCTTTCCCAATCCTCATTACCTTACACTTGCTGGGATTGATCTCCAGCAGCCATTTGTCTGACCACTCCTAGAGTTTATCGATCTGAATCATTTTCAAGAAGCTAAGGTCCAGTCTAATAGATTAAGAAAGTAAGAATAGTGAAATAACTGTAAATGAATATGATCACGGATCGAGAGCTTCATACGGGGATTGCATATTCTGAATTGGTCTGACGTATGTGGCTTGATAGGTCCTGAATTTGTGAGTGTTTTTGTGCCTGTGTGTATTCAATTATGTGCACAAGCAGGCGATGAGTCACAATAACGTGGCCGAAGTAGTTTGACCAGACCACACACTAGAAGCTGAAGGGACGACGACGTTTCGGTCCGTCCTGGACCATTCTCAAGTCGATTGTGTGTCTCACAATCGACTTGAGAATGGTCCAGGACGGACCGAAACGTCGTCGTCCCTTCACCTTCTAGTGTGTGGTCATGTGCACAAGGTTTAATGCCTGGAAGATGTAGCTTCATCTCTTGGGCCGAACCTATTACAACGGTGCATCATCCAATCTCCCCGCTCGAGTGTATATGTAGATATATATGTAAATGTATATGCGAATGTGCTTCCCCGCGTTCTGGGGAAGAGCTGCATGCATGCACGCACGCACTGTTCACACTAGTGTCAGCACCCCACAGCAGGGAACACCCTCCCTGTACACCCTGGGGGCCGTACTGCAAGCAGGGCGCTATAATGCCCACTCTCCCACACCCCCCCAGCCTCCGGGGGCACCTGTGGTGGCTGCACATCAGGAGCATAATACAATCATCGGGGGATTCGAGCGAGCGTTGAACTTGCAAGCTTTAGTCTCCTCTCAGTTTAGCTGTCTACCAGGCAGCTACTTGCTTGGGCCTTCCCAGTTTGGTGCTTTGTTTTGATAAATTACTTGCTTGCTTGCTTGCTTGCTTGGTGTATGCTTGCAAGCCTTCTGTATGATCTGGGGTCCTCAGTCCAGTATTTCTTATAGGATTCATAGGATAGGATACATAGGATTCTCTGTGGCTTTGGAAAATATTATATGTTATTATTCCATATTAATCGTTAGTTATGGCGAGAGAGAAGGATTAAAATTAATCATCTGTGGATGTCAAAGGTCACTGATTTAATTCACTAAGACATTCCCTTCAATGATGAGAAAAATAATCATTGCCCAAATGGTTTATTGAGGTTAATCCTTTCGTTTGAAGCCCACCTCGGTAAATGCTTCACACACGTGCTGTAAATATAAAAATAAAAATTACGCCATAATTAAATCGCATAACGTAACCTACTTCAGGTCTAATTATATAAAAAAAATCTAAATTTTTTTCAATTTAGATTTGAGAAAATATAGTGGGTGATTACACAGCGCGAATTAGGAATGCGCCTTTTGGGGATGGCCGCTGCTCTTAACAAGCATAGAGCCTAAGGGTGGGTTGTTATAGGCTTGTTATTGATTAAATCAAGTCTAGGTATCGCGGCTCGGAAGGAATAGTTAAGCGTGGGAATCAGACGCCAGCACTTGAACTAATAAAAACCGGATTCGTTAAATCGCGTTGATAATTTCAATAATAACTTTAGTAGCCCGTCCTCGTAAACAAAGGGCAAATGCTCGTTAAATCAATGCGGCTAACAACCCGTTCTCAGGCCAAGCTCGTTAATCCGGCGGCCCAAGCCCAAGACGTAGTCATTAATTTTAACGTGCTGTGTATTAAAAATAGGTTTGTTCTCATATATAATAAATATACAGTATATTAATTAACAGTATTCATTAAGGTTCTATATATAGACGTAGGTTAGGTTAGGTGTTTAGGTTCTGTTGGCGATTATTTGTATTTGTAGTACGTGGTTGAAGCATTTACAGCGTTGTGATTCGAACAAAAGTCGTCAGCGAAGCACTTGTTCCGTTAGTGTTCGAACGAAATAAGTTGTGAGCCGTGCGTAAACCGTTTTTCATTCATAAACAGTGGGTTTGGCGGGTGGATGGAATCACTCTTGGCCTTTGTTAATGAGGATGGGATACACAACTATTATATTCCAATTTTTGTAAATAGTGCTGCAAATCCGAATAACTGCGAAACATTATCAAAACACCTAACCTAGCCTTGACTTAAACACCCCCAATTATAATACACATTAACATCGATTTATTTTGAGAAAGTATATATATTTTTGTTGTTGGTTTCACAGGTACGTTAAAATTGTGGAATGTGATTTGAAAATTAGCGGTAGCCTGAGCCAACCTCTGCCAGAGACGGGTTCGGAGTCAGGTGTCAGATTGTGTAAACATTGCGTTAAAGAAACTTGAACACACTATAATGTTATCTTGAAATTGCATTTATGAAAAGTGTTTATAAATGAAGCGATAATTTCAGCTGTCATTTTTTTGTGTGGTTTAAAAGTGCGTGTGTGCAGCAATTGAGAAGGAAATTGCTATATGTAAAGACATGTAGCGAGGCTACATGTTAAGAGCCTGGAGCCAGATTCATGAAAGGATTTACGCAAGCACTTACGAACATGTACATCTTTTCTCAATCTTTGGCGGCTTTGTTTACAATTATTAAACAGTTAATGAGCTCCGAAGCACCAGGAGGCTGTTTATAACAATAACAACAGTTGATTTGGCAAGTTTTCATGCTTGTAAACTGTTTAATAAATGTAAACAAAGCCGTCAAAGATTGAGGGAAAATGTACACGTTCGTAAGTACTTGCGTAAGTGCTTTCGTGAATTTGGCCCCTGGATGTTAAGGTAATCTTCCTCTTGATGGAGATATTTGCCTGTGTTAATACAGGTGTTTTGTGCAGGTGTTTCGACGTAGTAATTATATTCGCAAGTTATCGCTGGGTAATCGTAAGTCCCACTCCCCACGGTCTGAAACCATCAGGTATTTACGTCTTCACTTACGATATCTGTACATCTTAATCATGGCGGATTTGTGTACATTTATTATGCGGTTTAAGAGCTCGCAAACTTCACAACCCAAGGTTATTGTTGTGATTATTCGCAAGCTCGCAGTGCTGCGGAGATCGTAAACTGTAACCTCGTAATGCTTCGGAGCTCGTAAACTGTAACCTCGTAGTGCTTCGGAGCTCGTAAATTGTAACCTGGTAGCTTGCCAGGTAAGCTAAGTGCTGCACAGTATGCAGACGAGGAGTCACAATAACGTGGCTGAAATATGTTGACCAAACCACACACTAGAAGGTGAAGGGACGACGACGTTTCGGTCCGTCCTGGACCATTCTCAAGTCGATTGTGAGTCGACTTGAGAATGGTCCAGGACGGACCGAAACGTCGTCGTCCCTTCACCTTCTAGTGTGTAGTCTGGTCAACATCAGCACAGTATTTCCTCACAGGGTTTTCCTCTGATAAATGAATTATTTAATGATATAAATTCCATATAAATACATATGGAATGACACAGACACAGAGGAGCGACACATGACCCAAGTGGCTCATGATAAAACAGTAACACATGGCTCAGGAGACAGAGACACAGAGAAAGCCGGCTTACCCGTCTACCAACTCTGTTGTTGTGATGGTTCATGAGCGTTATAGCCGGATTCGGCTGTCTCTTCTTCCCCTTTTTTCTCCTGTTCTTTTTCCTGGACCTCAGCCGCGCCGCCCTCGCCAGGTCGTTGGCGCTGCTGCTGCCCTTGGCGGGCCTGTCCCTGCCGCTGCCTCTCCTGCCGGTGTTGCTGGTCTGCAGGTTGGTCTGCGTCGGCAGGTACTGGGCGTAGGGCTGCACTTCTCGGCTGTGTCGGACGCTATTGGTCCACCCTTCATCTGGCGGTTCCTGCTGCTGCACCTGCTGCTGCTGCTGCTCCTCCTCCTGCTGCTGTTTCGCTGCTGCTCGGCGGTGTCGACCCTGCAACTGATTGCAACTGCATTTTATTAAAGTGGATTGTTTAAAGTTTGAGTTTAGTTCACGTAGTATACAGTCTAAATCAATCCTGTGAGTGGACACACTGCCGTAGGGACAGTATTGGGCAGCGTCACTCATCCTGTGAGTGGACACACCGCCGTAGTGACAGTATTGGCCAGCGTCACTCATCCTGTGAGTGAACACACCGCCGTAGGGACGGTATTGTCGTAGCTCAGTCGATTAAGGCAGCCTCTGGGATGCTCCCGGACGCAGGTTCGAATCCTCGTCACGGCCCTTGTGGATTTGTTCATAGATAGATAGTTGCTGCACGTGAAATAGATCACACGTTCAATGGTAACCAGCTGGACGTACAATAGATATTTATCTGCACGTTCAATAAATCTTAGTTACACGTATAATAGATGACAGCTGCACGCACTAATGTATTTTGAGCTCCACCAAAAAAAAAGAAAAAAAAAACAAAAAACAAAAAACCGAAGGCGATAGATCGTGTGGAGGCGTGTGGTTAGTGGCTGATAGATTATGTGGCTCTCTGACCTTTTTTTACCCGCTGACAAGTTGGCCCCACAATTAAGACAAGTTGGTCCACCAGGTGCTGTCCGGCGCTTGGGGCTGCCTTAGGGGGTCCCACACGCTGCTTGACACGTTAATGGTGGGTTCATGTGCCGACCCCCCCCCTCACCCCCCCTTCTGTCCACCACCACTACCACAACCTCCCCCTCTGTCTACCACCCCCACCGCTGCTTCCTCTCCTGCCTCTACTGATATTGACAAAATATAAGAGTATGTGTTGCCTCTAGGAGCTGGTGACCACTGAATTGTCACGCTGGAATACATAGTGGAACTGAAGGAGTTGGTTAGACCAGGACATCTGTCGTAGAAGAGAGATTACAGATGTCGGGGCTACAGTAAGATGAGGGACTGTCTTCGTGAATCAGATGATGGACGTCTTTGTAGGTACATGTGTGTGCTGATGCGGAGGAGCCGTTCATACCTCACAAGAAGAAGGTGGACAAGAGACGTATAGTAATATTCACACTACAGGGGTACCCTGTCTGTCTGTCTGTCTGTCTGTCTGTCTGTCTGTCTGTCTGTCTGTCTGTCTGTCTGTCTGTCTGTCTGTCTGTCTGTCTCTCCCTCTCCCTTGATTCATGCTGGAGAACACCAATCAGGTGAGAGACCTTGGCTCATGGCGCGGGAAAACCACTTACATCTGATCACCTGATCAACCAGGCTGTGACTCATACGTCAGGCTGCGAGCAGCCGCGTCCAACCGCCTGGTTGATCAGTCCAGCAACCAGGAGGCCTGGTCGACGACCGGGCCGCGGGGATGCTAAGCCCCGGAAACACCTCAAGGTAACCTCAAGGTAACCCAGGTCACTTGCATATTTGAGCTAATAATAGGCAAAGTATGATGACTAGAATTTTTGTTTTAATTTTTGGGATATGCATGCACAGTGTTTTATATTATAACAAGAAAACAAAAATTGAAAAGGAAAGCAAACTAATCCCGGGTCCAATTGATATGGTATTCCAAAAATTTTCATGGTAACTTTATTCGCGTCGTGTCGGTTATCTTGAGATGATTTCGAGGCTTTTAGTGTCCCCGCGGCCCGGTCCTCGACCAGGCCTCCACCCCCAGGAAGCAGCCCCGTGACAGCTGACTAACACCCAAGTACCTATTTTACTGCTAGGTAACAGGGGCATAGGGTGAAAGAAACTCTGCCCATTGTTTCTCGCAGTTGATGTTTGTTTCTCTTGTGCCAATTAAATTCCCAACCCGACTATGTTGGGCATGTACCCCACAAGAATCACGGTGAAAAGTTGGCTGAGGCTTCCAACCTTCCTACAAACATACCGACATTCTAATTATATATATATATATATATATATATATATATATATATATATATATATATATATATATATATATATATATATATATATATATATATATATGTTTGTGTGTGTGTGTGTGTTCTCACCAGAGATAATGCCACAACTGTGTTCAGATCAGAGATAATGCCTCACCTGTTTTCTCATGAGAGAAAAAGCCTGACCTGTTTTCTCAGGAGAAAGTCCCGGGGGACTTATATATATATATATATATATATATATATATATATATATATATATATATATATATATATATATATATTTGTGAGAAGTTCCAACCACTTGGGCTGGTTGGTACAGTGAGGGTTTTTCTTCTTGTAGGTCGGTGTTCGATCCCCTATGGTCCAAGTGTTTGGGCACTATTCCTTCCCTTCGTCCTATCCCAGCTCCTTGTCCTCATATCCCAGCTGCTTGTCCTCATATCTCAGCTCCTTGTCCTCATATCCCAGCTCCTTATCCTCATATCTCGGCTCCTTGTCCTCATATCCCAGCTCCTTGTCCTCATATATCAGCTCCTTGTCCTCATATCCCTTCCAAATGAAAAAAGTTTTCTCCTGACTTTTGCTAAAAAATAAGACGAGATACACGTGCCTGTTTGACCTTTATATGTACACACGCACACAGAGGTTGCTGTGTAGCACAGTGGCCTACATCGTCAACTAACAACCAAGGATCACGAGGTTGATCCCCCACGGCACGACAGAAGCGTTTGTATACAATGTTTCCTTCCATCTGATGCCTGTGTTCACCTCGCAGTAAATATATAGGTTGCCCTGGGGGACTTAGATAGCTATTAGCATCCTTAGGGAAGGTCAGGAATAGGCCTAGTAGATATGATATATGAAATATGTTCACGTGTGATTATATATTTACGGGTTATTCATGCCCGTGCCACCTCTTGGGTGGCTCAATCTTCATCAATCATCTGATTACATATAAGCATCGTTTATACTGACCTTTAGTCTGTTGTTTTTGGTGTTTCTGGCGTCGATGAAGTCCCTGGCGAAAGAGGCGCCAAACCTGACGTTGTCGCCGCAGCCTCCCCACTTGAAGTAACCATTGGGGGGTTCCTGCGGGACCCTGCCGCAGCCGCAGAGGACCAGGGTGCCCTGGGAGCACGCCCTCGACACCGCCCACGTCACAGCAGCCGAGCTGAGGGCGTGCACTACTGCCTGCTCCCGCGTACCTTGCCAGGGGGGGAAAAAGATATACACAGCTCTTCGTTATCCTGGCTGACTGTATAACCACACTGTAACCCCGTGTAGCAGGGTCCTAGCATTCTGTTCCAGCCGCCTAGCTCCTAGCCACTACCCAATTGCAGCAAGATTCTATGGGTTGGTACCCCTGCCTTTTAGTGCCTAGCTAGTACGTACCTGTAGCAGGATTCCTGGGACTGCTACTTACCCCAACGCCTCTTGCCAGCACCTCCTGTAGCAGGGCCCCCTAGAGGCCACCACCGGGCTCCAAACTCCTGTAGCAGGCCCCCTAGAAGCCACCACCGGGCCCCAAACTCCTGTAGCAGGCCCCCTAGAAGCCACCACCGGGCCCCAAACTCCTGTAGCAGGCCCCCTAGAAGCCACCACCGGGCCCCAAACTCCTGTAGCAGGCCCCCTAGAAGCCACCACCGGGACCCATGCACCCTCCCGCAAGGAAGTACTCACCCATCGTAAGATCGGGCGAGAGATTGGGGGCGTTGAGGACAGAGGAACAGTTCCACCTCCTGGAGTGGAAGACCCTCTGACAGGTGGTGACGGTGGTGGAGGCGGCGTGGGTGACGTGGGGCATCACCTCCACTTGACCTCTACACGTGTGAGTTTGACCTCGCGTGAACCCGTAGACTCGCCGTGCGTTCTTGCAGCTCCGGGAGTGACCCCAACGCTCGTATCCGCCCCGATGGAGCGACCTGACGGCGCAAGTCTCACACATTACAGTAATAATAATAATAACCAGAGTATATAATCACCCTAACGTGTCAATGATAAAATTTGTGTTTGTGTGAATTGTGTGAAAATGTTTGGTCCGGCTTCAGTGAAAGCCTCAGGAAACCCTTGTATGTTCAGTAGGACTCCAGGCTGCAATCCTTGTGACCATGTCGTGCTCTGATTGTCTGGTGCGTGGGACACTCCATAGGTTCGAATCCTCATCACTGCTCCTACGGATTGTCTCAATAATAATTAATAATTATAACGAGCTCCACTACTCAGTCGCCGGCCACTGAACAACTACGTGAACATGCGGTTCTGTAACGTGTTCAGCAAGTGATGCTGTTCTCTCTCCCGGGTCGTTCATGAATAAGTGATGAACATGTGTGTGTGCATTCAGCCCATCCTCTGAATAGACAGTACGTTTTAATACTAAATATAATAAGTACAATCCTGACTATTGGCATAGTACATAAATATACTTAATTGCCAGCATCACACCAAAATATTAGTTATATTAGAGTTTACCTGAAAAGCTGTATAGCAAACCACGACCTAATCTAACCTTGGGGGTGTAGGAGGACAAGCATGTCGATAACATTTATTGCTTTTTAATCACAATTAGTACTTAACCTATAGCTATATATATGATATTACAATTTTATAAAACTAATAAAACAAAACTAAAGTCTTTCAATAAATTATAAAGTAACTCAGGATATTTTCAAATTTTGTATAAAATCTCTTATTGTTTAATAACCCTGAAAAAGAAATTCTTTATATTTAAAACTTGTGTATATAGAATTGAACACGAAAACTTCAACCTAAAAATTTTGAGTGTATTAATAGTTAATGAGGAGTATATATGGGAAGGTAAATGTAACAGCACAATAAGTGTAATTATGTACTATGCAGACAGTCAGGAATGTACTTTTTACATTTAGTATTAAAACGTACTGTCTATATGGAGGATGGGTTGGTGCATTTTGGGCCTTGTATGGGGGTGTTATTTTGATTCGTAAAGAACTTCACTCACCTGTATGTGACCTCTGACCTTGTGAACCTTGACCCCGGCCACCTTGGTCCACGTGTGATGGCAGGCTATCTTGAGATGATTTCGGGGCTTTAGTGTCCCTGCGGCCCGGTCCTCGACCAGGCTTCCACCCCCAGGAAGCAGCCCGTGACAGCTGACTAACACCCAGGTACCTATTTTACTGCTAGGTAACAGGGGCATAGGGTGAAAGAAACTCTGCCCATTGTTTCTCGCCGGCGCCCGGGATCGAACCCGGGACCACAGGATCACAAGTCCAGTGTGCTGTCCGCTCGGCCGACCGACTCCCAACATAATTACCTCATGTCATATAGTAATGTATATACCATATATGAAGAGTATGTATGTTTATGAATACAGACTACATATGTATATAGGTACTTGGTGACACAGGGACAGCTGCTCTCCGTCCACGTCAATGAGGCGATGACCTCGTTTCTTGCAAGGTCGGCGTTCGATCCCCAATGGTCCAAGCGGTTTGGCATCGTTCCTTTCCCCTCCCCCCTGCTCTCTTTCCCCGGCTCCTTGCCTGTCCTCGTCTTTCTCTCATATGATATATCGTCATATTGTTATGTGGAGAATGGGGACCTGCTGCATGGGTAACAGCTTCTCCCTCTGCTCCCCCCCCCGCTTGTAGGTCGTAGAGAGACACGACCTCTTCTCCTCTCACTCGTAGGTCGTAGAGACACGACCTCTGCTCCTCCGACTCGTAGGTCGTAGAGAGACACGAGTTCTGCTCCTCCTACTCGTAGGTCGTAGAGACACGACCTCTGCTCCTCTCACTCGTAAGTCGTAGAGAGACACGACCTCTGCTCCTCCGACTCGTAGGTCGTAGAGACACAGGACCTCAGCTCCTCTCGTAAGTCGTAGAGAGACACGACCTTTAGCTCCTCTCACTCGTAAGTCGTAAAGAGACACGACCTCGGCTCCTCTAACTCGTAGGTCGTAGAGAGACAGGACCTCGGCTCCTCTCACTGGTAGGTCTTAGAGAGACACAGGACCTCAGCTCCTCTCGTAGGTCGTAGAGAAACACGACCTCTGCCCCTCTCCACATATCAGAGAGACCATATACTACCTGCTGGCGGCCCTGGCTGGCGGTCATGTCGTCGCCTCCCTCCCCCGGTGCCCGCGCCGCGCGCCACTGAGGTCTCCTGACGTCCCCGGAGCGTGCTGGCGGGTATCAGAGCGCGGGAAGATGAGGACAGCGTTGAGAACGACTGTCGCGTGGCTCTGATTGCTACAATTGACCGCCAGTTAGCGCTGTTATTCGTTAGCGATGACTGGCGCGTTTTTTGTGTGTGTTGCGCTCGTCTCCGGCGTAATTGTAGTGTACCTGCCGATATTTTTTTGGTGCGGAACGTTATACAATCAATATTGTTATGGTTTTGTAAATGGGCGCGATTTTTATTGGGTGTGCGTGCTTTTGTGTGTGTGTGTGTGTGTGTGTGTGTGTGTGTGTGTGTGTGTGTGTGTGTGTGTGTGTGTGTGTGTGTGTGTGTGTGTGTGTGTGTGTGTGTGTGTGTGTGTGTGTGTGTGTGTGTGTGTGTGTGTGTGTGTGTGTGTGTGTGTGTGTGTGTGTGTGTGTGTGTGTGTGTGTGTGTGTGTGTGTGTGTGTGTGTGTGTGTGTGTGTGTGTGTGTGTGTGTGTGTGTGTGTGTGTGTGTGTGTGTGTGTGTGTGTGTGTGTGTGTGTGTGTGTGTGTGTGTGTGTGTGTGTGCGTGCTTTTGTGTGTGTGTGTGTGTGTGTGTGTGTGTGTGTGTGTGTGTGTGTGTGTGTGTGTGTGTGTGTGTGTGTGTGTGTGTGTGTGTGCGTGCTTTTGTGTGTGTGTGTGTGTGTGTGTGTGTGTGTGTGTGTGTGTGTGTGTGTGTGTGTGTGTGTGCGCGTGTGTGTGTGTATTTAGAAACGAGCGTGTATGTTTTCAAGATTTTGTACACATTTGCCGCTCCATAAATAAATCCAACCTTCTAACCTCACCAGAAGTGTACGAACCCAACCCACCCACCCAACCTATCGAGTCCGATGCATAGAACACGTAGATTCTCGTCAGCCGTTTTCCTAGTAGGCTGCATCTGTAACGTTGGTTACCAAACGTACCAAACGCAATTTATTCGTATAGATGACGGGTGACTATAGCACCTATAGACAGGCTAGAGACAGAGGGGGGAAAACCAGGCTTAAATAGACAGTCACAGGCTGAGTTACGCAGACAGACAGACAGTCGGATACTCACTTATAGACAGACAAACGCTTCACTCTCCTAGTAACAGAAGCTCAGACGGTAGTGGAATGAAGAAGATAGTGTAAAATGCAATTCAAGTCAGTATGCTTCAAGAGAATACATATCAATACAACACCGTTCTATACAATACCTTGCAATACAACACCCCCTTCTATACAATACAATACCCTGCAAATACAACACAATTCATGAACCAGAGAAGAAAAACAACATTATGACCTGTCTGAGCACATCAAGAAGTGACACAAAAAATGAGTAATGAAAATTATATATAATTTCATCTCCAGTCTATAATTAAAGATAGCAAGTTTAGTTATCAAGTTGAGGGAAGAAAGGTATTATTACTGAGTGTGTACGTCAGCTGGCCCCAGTTGATAACGCAAAGGAGGGAGGGGGGAGGTGGAGATTGAAGGGCTGTAGCATTGGGAAGATGAAGTTGTTGAAGCCTGCTGGGTGAGTGAGAGAGTGAGTGAGAGGGTGAGTGAGTGAGTGGGTGAGTGAGTGACAGGTTTCGTTACGTGTAACAATTTGTAGGGTTTATATATCTTGGAACTCCAGTACAATATGCATGGCTGAACTCCTTGTTGTGGTGGTGGCAGAGTGGTGGCAGGATTGATGAACTAGCAATAACTATAGACCGCGAAGAGTTCGAGCCCCAGAGTTCTTTCTGCGCGATAACAGCACCTGAAACCCTCGGACGGGAACAGAACAGGTAGCGTTATCTCGTGACTACAGCGGGATATATACTCGCGGGAAAACTGTTTACCTAGGTTTACCTAAAGTGTTTGTTGTGAATGGCTGTATCGATCATGTAGCGATCATGTTCTCAAGTTGGGGGATGGATACCTGGTTGACACCTGGTTGATGGGGTTCTGGGAGTTCTTCCACTCCCCAAGCCCGGCCCGAGGCCAGGCTTGACTTGTGAGAGTTTGGTCCACCAGGCTGTTGCTTGGAGCGGCCCGCAGGCCCACATATACCTGGTTGATGGGGTTCTGGGAGTTCTTCTACTGCCCAAGCCCGGCCCGAGGCCAGGCTTGACTTGTGAGAGTTTGGTCCACCAGGCTGTTGCTTGGAGCGGCCCGCAGGCCCACATATACCTGGTTGATGGGGTTCTGGGAGTTCTTCTACTCCCCAAGCCCGGCCTGGGGCCAGACTTGACTTGTGAGAGGTTGGTCCACCAGGCTGTTGCTTGGAGCGGCCCGCAGGCCCACATATCCATGGAGGTGGCTTCCTCAACTTCTTTCAGCGTGTTCCGCTTGTTGACCTCCCGTACTGGGAACGAGTATTTCCTTACATTTCTTAAGCTCATTTGCTTCTCCAGCTTCCACTTATATCTTCCTCGTCCTACTTTGTCTCATTTTAAAGAGGCTGCCCTTGTCCACCTTCATCAGTATCCTGTATGTTACGATCATGTCTCTGTTTCTTCCGTCCTCCAGGGCTGTGAGGGGTTAGCTCACTTATTAACCAATCCTTATAGTTCATTCCTCTTGGCTCTGGCACTAATCTTGTTGCGAACCTTTGAACTTTTCCATTTTGGTTTTATGTTTCACAAGGTGCGGATTCCAGACCGGTGCTGCATATTCCAGCATTGATCTAACAAACGCTGTGAAAATTGCCTTGAAAGAACCCTGGTTTAGGTTTCTAAACGACGTTCTAATGTTTGTAAATGGTATTGTGTTTATGTTGACCAGA